TGACATCACTGCATTGTCAGGGTTAAAGGAAGAAGGCTACCCCAGCAGCGTCTGCAAGAATAAACCCACGTGCCTGGTGGCTTATGGGAAAACCAGTGCCATCTCTGAGAAGTAGGTGTCAGTTGGTCCTTAAGGTCATTGGACAAGAGGCTGAGCCATAGGGAGGCTGCCTGCACCGTAGGGACTGCTTCTGGCGATGGCTGTCACTCAAAGTGACTTGCTGAAGGTAGCAGGCACAACTGCCCTTAACACCCAGGTGAGGAAATTGGCTCTGCTTCGAAAGCATTCCACACATGTCAAAGATGAAAATGCAAGCATTAAGTTTCTGATCTTTACCTTAAGGACATTGTTCAGACACGGGCACAGAAGTATAAAACAAGGCTCAGCTTGAATCGCGGTGAACCCTTCTTCCTCCTGCCAATGCTGACAAAGAGTTAAAGTGGACTGAGCTTTGTAACGCTGTATCCTTGCCTGGAGTGTTACATTCCAAGTGTTATGTTCATTGGCCTTTTAGAACAGAACAATCTAGTCCAGGTTCCCTGGAAGCATCCTTTGCTCTGCAGAGAATAGAAACCCTACAAGATACGTCTTGATTGGGATGGGCTGGGGTGGACCCCGCAGAGCTGTGGGAACCGTGAGCGGGCGTGCCGGTGGCTGTCCACGGAAAGCTGTGAAGGGCTCTTGGAGAGGAAATGCAGCCGTCATGAAACAGTTTTCATCTTTAGTTGGCTGGGCAGTTGGAAATGGGTCAAGGCTGCCTGACCAACTAGGAGATATGTGTCCAGAAAAAAAAAATCATGACTTGACAAATATGGCTAATGAGGTCTAGAATTTTAGTAGTGAATTCTAGAGTTTACACATTCTACCTGGACAAGTCTGTCCATCCACTTCGAGAGTCAGCATCCCCTGTGGCAGGAAGGGAGTGATTCCATTGCACAGAGCGCCTGGGAGACCAAAAGCAGTCTTGTGTAGGAGAGTGCCTGGGTAAGGGATGCCTCTGTGCAGAAGAAGTATTTTTTAAAAAATATGATCTAAACCTCAGAATCCTTAGAATTATTTTTGGACAGAAAATAAATCAGAAGTAACTGCTACCAATCTCCAGTGGAACAAGAGGGCGGCAGCTACATGGCACAATTTATTATCGCTGCTCTGAGAGCAGCCAGCCGTGCTGCCCAGTTTTATGAATTATTGATTTCTGGAATCTTATCTTTGTGTCATTTAAAAATAATTTCATTTTTCTTATGTGCTGTTTCTAAGCTGTTTCCAGGAGAACAATACACTTGGCTATTAAAATTCAATCTCTTCTAACCTCAGGAAATCTTCTAGAGAAACAGATTACTTTCAAATTTAAATCACTTATGAGCCTCTTATTCTGAAGAGTTTACCGTAGACGCACATCAAGTCTAAGGCCCAGGAGAACGAAGCCTCTTGGTCAACAGCTGTGGCCTTCATCTGCTAACCTGCTCTGCTTACCGCCCACAAGTAATGTTTTGGCTGATGTGTCACCACTGACCAGTGTTGGCATCACGTGGTGCCACGCATCTCTCTGCCTTTCCTGGGCTCTGGCTGTGGAGCAGGTGCCCGAGATCCGTTGGCCAGTGAGCAATGACGAACCTCCCTGTTGTTCCAGGCCCACGCTGGGAAAGAGGGACAGAACCCTCCTGTCCTGTGGCCTGTTGCAAAATCATAACTATAAAGGGACCTGGGAATTCTCCTTTGAAATGAGTACTTATTAACGCAGTGTGCCATGGGAAGATCTGGACATCTCAGTCAGAAGCACCTCTGTGTCTTGCGATCTGTTCAGCTTGGGCAACTTTCTAACCCTCCCTGAGCTTTCATTCCCCTGTCTGTGTGATCTGCTTCACAAACTTGGTAGAGACAGCAGCATTCTGTTTGCTTTTTAATCTGCTCCCTCAAGTCCCACAGACCTTGTTAGCAAGAAGTCCAGCATTTTGAGCTGGAAGACCTTCCATCTCACCTCTCCCCGTGTCCATGGGAAAATGGGGCTGCTTCCCCTCTTCAGTGGGGCAGGCCTGACTCCATTGTCAGAAGTGCCACACCTCTTATGACCACAAGGTGTCGCCATTGGACCTTCATGGGAAGTAGCCCCATCCATCCCACTCAAGGTGTGGATGCACCGTGCTCATTTCCAGCTCTTCCTAGGAAGGATTGAAAGGGGTGGGCAGATGGCTTGAACCTCAAAATTAAATCAGTCTTATTCACATTCACAGCATCTGGTGGCCAGTTCTAACTGCTTCCAAACTCACCCATGTCAGAACCAACCTTTTCATTTACTCAAAAGTAATAACCCTACTATGTGGCAGGCACTGGATTAGGCATTTAGAAAGGGGCATCTTCCACATACGCCCCTGCTTTACCTGAGCCCAAGTTACCAAGAAAGGCGTCTCCTCCACTCCTGCAGGGGGGGGCGGGGGGAGGCGGGAAGAAGACTGTCTCATTTACACAGTTTGACCCACTGCTCTCGGGCATCCGAGGGTGCATGCCAGATGGGGCGCTACACCTGAGCAGCACCCTCGGATGCCTGCACCTTCTACACTGCACCTGAGCATAGGCACACTCCTGCCTTCTATGGTAAATGGGGCTTACTATTCTGTTTAACTGAGTGCCATAAAATTGATCTCCCACAGAAATCTGGTCACTTCAGGTTAAAACTTTATATCTACTACCTGATTTAAAGTTGAGGCTCTTACTCATCTGGCAGGATGGTTAGGAGGATTAAACTAGGTATCTTCACTGGACTATAAGCTTATAAAGGCTATATTTTGTTCACTGCTGTCTTTTTATTTTTTTCACTGCTATTATCTTCAGTCCTTAAACCAGTGCCAGCACATGGTAGGGGCCAGTGTGAGTGTGTGCACGAGCATACGTGCGTGTGCACATGGTCACACACAGTCATGGAATGAGCCTGCAAAGAATGTCGTCTCATTAAACATTAGTTTCCTTGCTTCCTTTTCCAAAACACATAGCAGCACTGGGCTGTGAAGTTTTGCGCAGAGAAAACCTCAGTGTTCACACACACCACTAGCAATCTGCAGGTGCCAGTTCGGTCGGCCTGGGGCAGGGCCTGAGATTCTGCCTTGCACAGAGCGCTGTCAGTGCTTCGGGTCAGAGCCATGCTTTGCAGGCCGGGTGCTATGTGTTGGCACCTGATCTCATGGGCTCTGAGATGCCATTGATTATAAAACATAGTCTGATTTTGGAGATTTTGAAATACAAAACATGGAGAGTACCTTAGCATCTGTGACACATGCATGTTGAGACACATGCGGTAATGGTTACAGGCGGTCAGATAAACACAGCCGTACCAGTTGTACCTTTCTGATCTTGGGCAAGTTATCAACCCCCTGACACTGCATTTTCCCACCTCCAGCATGGCAGCAGCCACAAGGGCTGCCTCAGGGGTGACCAGTGCTGACCCAGCCAGCCTTGGGATGTACCTGTCTGTCTGTCTGTCCAGTGAAATAAAAAATCCACAAGCTGACCAGCTTTCATTTCCTTCCACATTCCATACTTCCCTGAAGTGAAATAACTGGGTATGAAAGAATAAACCTGCTCCAAAAGTTTTCATCTTCACATTTTGCTCTGCACTTTGTATAGCTCTACACTTTTTACTCTTTTACAGTAATGTGTCTGTGTATTATTTTTGTAGAAATAGAATAAACTGTATACTTCTAAACCCAGAGAGTAAGAAATAAGCCCCAATTGCTGTTTGAAGCATGCGTAAGGTTTTGTGAAGGGCATTTGACAAACCTCAGAAAAAGCAGAGGGTACCCTAAAGTGCTAAGTGAGCATGGCGTGCCCTGGCCAGTGTGGTTCTTTTGGCTGGAGTGCCATCTGTAAACTGAAAGTTCGTGGGTTTGATTCCTGGTCCAGGCATGTGCCTAGGTTGTGGGCTCCATCCCCAGTCAGGGCACATACAAGAAGCAACTGATCAATGTTTCTCTCTCACATCGATGTTTTTCTCCCTCTCTTTCTCCCTCCCTTTCCCTCTCTCTAAAATTAAAAAGCACATCCTCAGGTAAGGATTAAAAACTGAGTGCAAAGTGCCAAGCATGCCACCTGGCCGTGTCCAGAGTGGGCTCGGTGAACATAACACATTATTACTGTGTTTGCCTCTGGAAGGCAGGCTCCCCTCTCTCACTCACTGCTGCTTCCCCACACCCAGAACTGTGCATGGAACGTGGTGGGGAGCCGGCCCACACTGGCTGAAAGCATGAATGATTTGATGAGTGGACCTCAGACTGACTCGTGCAGATGCTCAGGTGGAGGAGCGAGCACGGGGGGAGCTGTCACTGGTGGCAGCTGGTCTTCGGTGCAGAGAAAACCAGCTGTGGCCCAGAGCTGAGAGGGTCGAATGCCGCAAGCTGCTGGGCTCGACCCTGGACACACATGGAGGGCGCTGTTGGAGCCAGGCCCCAGGGCAAGGTGTTTGTTACGAGAGCACCTTTGGGTTCTTTCCAACCAAGGCCACTGAAGTCCCGATTGGGGTACCACAGCAAATAAAATGAGGCGCTTCATAGACTTCAAAGGGAGAGGAAATGCTGAGTTCTGCACCCAGCACAGCCCCAGGCAGGGGTGGGCAGGAAGAAAGGGTCCTTGGTTCCGGTGCCCATCAGGATGAGGGGCTGCCCCAGCTGCTCCCGACACTGGGGAGATACCCAGGGAGACAGAGAAGTCAGCTTGCCCTAGTGAAAGCCTCACTTTCACATGCCTGAGAACTGCTAGTGTAAAAGCAACAACAACAACAAAAAACCACCAAAACTCTCCAGCTTTTCTCCTTCTCCTACTTGTCTGCTCTGGGTGGCAGTTTATAAATTCCAAGGATATTCTTGGGCTGGGGGGTGGGGCTGCAGGGCTGGGGGAGCTGCCTCATATATTACAAATCCATTATGTTATTGAAATGGGATTGAGAAGATTGTCAAGAAGACTCACAGGCCAGAGTCTCCAACCTAGCTAAATGTCCCCTTCTCACCTTCCAGGTGACCTTGTACAAAAGCTCGGACATGGAGGACTTCGGGTTCAGCGTCGCAGACGGCCTGCTGGAGAAAGGCGTGTATGTCAAAAGCATTCGCCCCGCCGGGCCAGGCGATCTTGGTGGCTTAAAGCCCTATGACAGGCTCTTACAGGTAAGACTGCAGGTGCAATTCAATTAATTTAACTCTTGTAAGTCTTCCTTGACCCATGCCCATCCATCCTCCTTTGTCTCAAACCTAGATTAGAAGCTTTCCTTTGGTAGAATTTACCAGTCATTGAAATTGCCTGTTTCCCTGTATATATTCCCCAGCAGATCGTACACTTCTTGAGGATGGGGCCAGTACCTTATCCTCCCTTTCGCCATTGTACAATGCTCGGTATCTCAGTAACTGACACCATGTCTGAAACCACAGTTGAACTCTGTTTGTTGAATGGAGTCCTGTCTTGGTCCGGTGTAGTTTCACTGAGCAAAGCAAGTTCTCGTGCAGTTCTTAGGAAGAGAACATTTTGCAGGAAGAGGAAAGCTTTGGCACCGTCTTAAACGTGTGTTCCACTGGACCAAGTCTGTCACCAGACAGCTGACCTTCAGAGCGAGGTTGCTCTGAGGTGTGCTCACTGCAGCGAGTGCTTGTTCGTCCACTAGATAGTTTTAAACCCAGTCCTGGTGGTTATTTTTGCCGTGGCAGTAGAACGGTTAGTCTTGTCCTGGGTGTATGGGACACTTTTATTTTCCTTGGGTGCTTTTACAGTTGAAGAATAACTATGGACAAGTTACTAACTCTCTGAGAGTGTCTTCCTAATCCATATATCAGAGCTATACCTACTTAGATGCAAATTGAGACCTTAAAAGCAGAGGGGATTCAGACGTGAAGAACTTTAAATGTCATGATAAAGCTCTTGGACTTTATTCTGGAGGCATATTCATTTCTTAAGCAGAGTGACATCATGTATCATTTGGAAAGAACACAGTGGTGCTGTGAGGCCCTGGGGCAGGTGGAGAAGGGAGGTTATGGGGAGGAGCCGGGTCAGGAATGGACAAGGCACCGGGTCACATGAGTCTTCAGCGCCTTCAGTGCATCCTGGCAGAGCCCTGGGAGAGGTGGCCTGTTTATTTTGCTCAGGAGAGAGGTTAGAGCTAGCGCTAAAGATTTGGGGTGCTGAAGGCATGGGTTTGGGTCACATGCCCATGGTGGACTCACAGTCATAAAGAGAGGAGAACCAAGGATAAAAGTCTAAGGAAAACAACATTTAAAGGACTGGGAGAAGTAAAGGCAGGAAAGGACTGAAAGCAAGCTGTTAAAATGGTAACAGGATCAATGCAAAGTAGTGTCCTAGGAGCCAAGAGAGAGAGTTTTAAGGAGGGATAGGTGTTAAGAGCGGCCGATGCTGGAGGCCAAAGAGAACGATAGCCCAAGACCCGAGCCCTGTATTGGACGGTGCGGTCACTTGTGCAGTGTGAGCGTCAGGTCCGACGGGGAGAGAGTGGAAAGTCACGGAATGAGAGCAGCATGTAGACTGTGAAAACTTCTGATTGTGGTGAGGAGAAACGACAGCCGATGAGTGCATGTATACGCTGAGGAGGGGGTGGGCCACGGACGGGGGTAGTTCAGCATCATGGTCAAGAGCACAGGCTTTGGAATCCACCAGACTGCCTGGGAGCACATCTTGGCTTGACCACTCACCAACTGCTCCTTCAAGGCAAATCTGGCAGCTGCTCTGCACCTCGTGTTCCTCACCTGTAAACTGGAGCTGACGTTCAGCTCTTGGAGCACCTGCTGTGAGCGAGGCAGGCCGTTCGCCATGGGTGGCCCCTGCACTCAGGGGCATTAAAACTTCGTAGCAGAGACTGTGAAGCCGGTGAGCTCGTTATGGCATGGTCAGCGCAGGGCTGGACCTCTCTGTAGAGGTGCTGGCCTAAATCCCTGCAAGGCCACGTGTTATGCCTGACCTGTATACCCTGGGTCTGCGGGATTGTTTTATGACGAGAACAATAATTCAAAGTGGCTCTTCCCGCCCTTTTAGGTTAATCACGTCCGAACGAGAGACTTTGACTGCTGCCTCGTCGTGCCCCTCATCGCAGAATCTGGTAATAAGCTGGACCTGGTTATTAGCAGAAACCCGCTGGCTTCACAGAAGTCTATAGAACAGACTCTACCAGGAGAATGGAGTGAACAGAACAGTGCTTTTTTCCAACAGCCCAGCCACGGTAGTAATCTGGAGATCCGAGAACCCACCAACACCTTATAGCAATGCTTTTTATAAAGCAGGACAAAAGACAGTATCTACATGGTGCTAAAAAAAAAAAAATCCCTTTGAGATTTCTGTGACATTTGAAGCACAGATGATCACGTGGCATTAAGTGCAAGCACAGGGGTCTTTTAAATCTCTCACGGCTCATGTTCACTTCCCTTTCCAAGTAGAAGAGGTTAGTTTTTTTGGCGACCACTACGGTATCTGGCAGATGATTTGCTGCCAAGCCCCATGGTAGAGAAAAGGAAAAATAAGTAGGCCACCCCTCCACGAGGAACATGGGAGGAACTTTTTTACAAGTTCATCTTCCTATCACTTTTTGAAAAAATGTCTGTTTAAAAATATTCTCTATGATAATTTCCTTAATTCACTTTGAAATCAGTTTCTTACTATGAAGTCATTAATGTAAGAACTTGACCAACAAGGCTTTTCATAAAGCTGGCTCTGCTAGAGGAACTAGTTGGGTAACTGCTGGGACTGGCTGCTGCTAGGGGAGGGGTACAGGGACACAATTATCTTAAAATGTTTCAGCAACGATGCACGCAGGAGATCCTAATAGGTGGTGGTAACTGTTTTGCCCAAGTATAGGAATGATTTTAACTAAGATGTATGCTATTCCCTATGCAACAAATTATCAAACAGGATATGTCTTGTGACCTGTTGCTTTTTTTTTTTTAGGGACACATTTTTAATAACTGAAAATCTCTGATAATGAATTAGAGTGTTTAGTAACACTGAGAGTTAGTTATCTTATTTTTAAAATTCAGGACTAAGAATTTAAGAATTAAGTCTATTAAAAGGTTTATCTTAATGATAGGCGAATCAAACTCATCTTGCTCAACATGTTTTAAAAACTGGTTCCACTGAGGGGTGTACAGCACATGTACTTAAAAATGACACCGGACTGCGTTTAGTTCTGAGCCATGCCACTCACCGAAATTGTAAATACATTTTCCACAGAATGCGTTGCCAATTATCACCATCCCTCAAAGCAATAAATTGTGACAGTTGCAGTTAATGTCTGTCAGCAACTGTTTTCATCTGTCCGGATATTTTGAATAGTTACACTAATAACTGTTATTTGGTGAATATAAAAAAATAGATATGTATATCAATTATAGAATCTCCATATTGAAAGTTATTTTCCAAACATTTCCATTTCAATCAATAACTCAAACAACCGCTTAGATGAAGCACTTGAACACTGTGTCCTTTGTTTAAGGAAAACCTTCACCTTTCTTTGTGTGCAAAGAAATATATTATTTCAATCACATTTCAGGACTGCCAGGGCAAGAAAGTATAAAGCAGAACATGTTAAGAAAAAAAGATCATGAGTCACTTAAATATGTATTTTTATTTGTAACAAACAAGTATTAAACTGTAAAGTATTTTTGTACAAATTTAATACTTTAATAGCATGGTATTTATCGTCTATGTATGGTTTTGGGGGATTCAAAATTGTTGCAAATATTTGTATGGGAAAAAAATCCTCTACCAAATGGAATAAACAGTGATTTTAAAAAGCCAAAAAATAGGACATTCACTTTCTCAGAGCTTTGAATGAATTTTCATGTTCTAGAGGCTGAGCCCTACACAATGTTAATTGCTACATAATTTCTAAACGGGGGGAGGTTTTGCCGTAAATTTGAAAAGCAGCATGGAAGAGCAGGAGGAGCATAGGGTTTGAAAGCAGATCTGGGTTTGAATTCCAGCTCACTGGTGGTATGAAATTTACCAGGAGTCAGTTTCCCCGCCCCCAATACTGAAAGTCCCATCTGCTCTCGGAGTCTGTTGTGAGGACAAGATGTGAAACCCGTGCAAGTGCTAAAACAGCCTGCAGACAGGAACACACTCAAGACTAATGGCACATTTATTTTAGGTGGCACATCTGCCCTCAGGGAACACCACGTGTTCTAGGAAACAAGTTTGCACAAACTGCGAACAGACTGCACGTTCGACCCCAACACTCGTTTGCAGATTGCCTTGCAGATCCTGAAAACTCACAGGAACAACACTAGAATGTCCATTCTCACCACATCCATGTAACAGTTTACTAGAAGTTCTAGCCAGAGCAGTAAGACAATAAAATGAAATAAAAAGCACCCAGATATGAAAGGAGTAAAATGTTCTCTATTTGCAGATGACAGAAAAATCTGTGAAAGTGAAAACAAATCCACAAAATGCAAAAAAAAAAAAAAATGCAAATAGTGTTTCTAATAAAAGACTTCTTTGTAGAATATATGAAGAACTCCTATCTCAATAAGAAAAAATAACCCAATTTATAAATTGGCAAAAGACCTGAATAGACATTTCTCCTAAGAGAAAGAACAAATGGCAATAAGCACATGAAAAGATGGCCAACATCATTACTGTAGGCAAATGCAAATGGAAGCCACAACGAAATATCGCTTTACGCCCACGGTGTGGCTGTAATCAAAGAGTCGGATGACAACAGGTGCTGGAGAAAATATGAGGCACTGGAACCCACACACACTGCTGGCGTAAATATAAAACAGTACAGCTGCTTGGAAAACAGCCTGTCCGGTCCTCAAAGCTTTAAACAGAGTTATAATGTGCCCCAGCATTTCCACTCCTAGGTCTATCTATACCTTAAAGAAATGGAAATACATGTTCACACAAAAACTTACGCACAGATGCTCAAAGCAGCATTAGCTGTAATAGCCAAAAAGTGGAAATAACCCAAATGTCCATTAGCTGACGAATGGATAAATTCCATGTGCCATATCCTTACAACAGCACATTATTTGGAAATAAAAATAGATGAAGGCCCTTTGCTTCGAGGAACCACTGAAAGCAAGGTGGGCCACCTGCAGCTCTACGGGGGCCACCTGCAAAAATGCAGCCAGGTCCCTGATCTTGTCACATCAGCTCAAACCCACACAGTCTGATGTGGAAATACGACCTCAGTCTGTGCGGCCAGTTTTCCCATCAGTACCCGAAGGGCACCAGCTTCGTCAAGATGGACTGAGTGATCTTCCTTGAATGGATCATCCAAGACATCTACCCAATAAAAGAAACAATGCTAGCTCTTTGTACATGATTGTTTTTAATCTTTTATTTTTTTTAAAAAAGAAAGATGCACTGGTAGATACATGCTACGACATGGATGAAATCTGAAAATATCATGCTAAATCAAAGACATCATAATAAAGGGCAGAGACAAAGTAGATTACCAGTTGCCCAGGGCTAGCGGGTAGGAAGGTATTAGAGCTGAAAGGGGCAAGAGTTCTTTAGGTGATCATATAAAAATATTCTAAAATTGATTGTGGTATTGGTATTACAACTGTGAATATACTAAAAGCTACTCAGCTGTGCAAATGGGTGAATTGTATATGAATTATATCTCCATAATGCAATTTTTAAAACATCAGAGTATCAGGTAAATCTTCCCTCTTAACTATTTCTTCTACCATTTAACAATAAATAAAACATTAAAAAAATAGAAATCACTCTGAGAAAAAACTTTTCCAAAATAGAGTATCTTCAGAGCAACGTGCCCCCGCACCCCCCGCAGTGACAATCACGTGACACGATGGAGGTGTTAGGTAATGTTACAGTGGTCGTCATAATGCAAGAGGTGAGTTTCATACACCTTCAACTCAGACAATGTTACACATCAGTTACTTCTCAAGTTCCGGAGTTCCCGGGAACAGCCCCAGGTGAGGTAGAGCCTGACAGTAGTGAGGGACAAACGGCAGCCTTGGGAGGTGATCCCTTCACAGAAGACGTGACACCTGACACTGGTGTCAGTGAGAGACGCAGTTGCAGTTCCTCATTGCCACACGTCACCCCTTGGCGAAGGTCACACAGTGATCACGGAAGTTAATAAGGCATTACCCTAAAAATAAAACTCTTCATAAAGTACAGATATGACACCGTTTTCTCTCATTTATGCCCATTGCTGCCTGTTCTCATGACAGACATTGACATCATCAAGGTTTTCTTTGATCGAATGAGTTTAAAACATCTGTAATACAAACACCTTAAAATAAAACTCCCATTACAGGCATCCTCTTTTATCCTGATACTCTTTTATCCTCTTTATCCTGAAGTTATGATGTCCACTTTGCGTTGAATGGAAAAAATAGACAATTATTTTGAATAATCAGAAGGAAAATTAAGTTTCTTGATTACTTGTGGGTTTGAAAAGTTGCCTGGGGGTCAAACTGTTTAGTTTCAAGTTCTGAAGTTTGGAAGACACTTGTGGAGACGATTCCTCCATCTGTTAGGAAAACAATAAAAATACAGTTAACTTTGTAAAAATGTAGTCAGGCCACCCCATGCACTTTTTCCCCCAACTGCTTCCACAGAAGACCTAGTACATTCCCCCGCCCCTGGAAGGCTGGAGCAGAGCGACTGGCTGTCGGCTCCTGCCCCCTGTGGCATCCCCAGCACCCAGCTGTGGGACTGGCGTGTGGACATGACTATTTGCTGAATGGGTATATAAATCGAATTTCCAAACGTGTGGACAGAGTCCACTATATAATTTGGTGACCCAGTACAAAATTAAAATGAAGGCCCTGTGTTCAGAAATTAAGAATCTCAAGATGGTTCCTGCAGAGCAGCACAGCGAGTGTGGGCCCAGCCGTGGTCAGGCAAAGCGCAGCTGGGCACAAGCATCTTCTTGGCATTGGCAGCGATTCCCACGCAAAAGTCAATGGACCGGTGAGGTCATGGGGAAGTTTTACCACCACAGGGAAAGGAGAAAAGCAGGCACAACTCCCGTCTTTCACAGTGCGAAGTCTGTTCCATTTAGGTGACTGTGATGGTTCATTTTGTGTCCACTTGGCTAAGCCATGGTGCTCAGATATTTATTTTGTCAACTCCAGTTCTAGATGTTTCTGGGAAGGTACTCTTTAAATGAGATTAACCTCTAATATAGATCAGTAGACTAGCACAGTAAAGCAGGTTACTCTCCATAAGGTGGGTCTCCCATCGACCGAAGACCTTAAAAAACAACTGACCTCCGCCCACGAAGGAGGAAGTCTCCCCCAGGTCCACCGATCCACCTGTCGATTTGAGACTTCCAGCCTCCACGAGGACAAGAGCCAATTCCCTCAAATAAACCCAGAGAGACAGACAGATGCAGACAGGCGGGCAGACAGACAGACATATCCTATTGGTTCTCTCTCTCTCTCGAGAACCCTGACTAATAGAAGGGCTCTCTTTTTTCAGGGATTATGTGGTTATGTCTTTCCTAATTTTTTTAATGTTAAAATGTCATTTTCCTTAAAAAGTTCTGGAAATTGCTGCTTTATGTGATACATTTTAGAATGTTTACACACATGTTTTTATTTAAAGGGAGATTTTTGTTTTCCCTCTTTTCTTGGTGGGGGCAGGGTATGGAAAGAAAAAAACAGGCTAACATTTACTTCTGGAATACGTTCCAAAGCCAAAGCTATTAACCCACAGAGAATCAGAAGCTGCCATTTCGGACGAGACCAGCATTAGTGTCTGTAGAATTTAAAAGGCTCTCGTGAGGCGGTGTGAATATAAAAGAAAAAGGAATGTGGGCAGCCCTTGTCACTGAATTTAATCTTTTAGAAATGACACATCTCAAGGCACCAGAAAGTCTAGAGTCATGAAGGCACAGGAGTTCCTAATGGATCAGCCCTGAAGCTTTGAATTCCAGGCCTCATTGCTAAGGATTCTTGTAAATGCCACATACTTCCGGCACACCTGGTGAGAAAACGTATCCCTTCAGTTAGAGAACCTGGCTCACGCTGCTGCTGTGACGCCGTGACATCAGTCAGCACCAGACGCCCCCACGGTCACTGTGCTCACAGATGGGCAGCATCGGCCTCAGCCAGAGCACGCCAGCTGTGGCAAGCACAGACCTGAAGACGGAGGCTGCTGCTGCTGCTGCTTTCCCTGGACACCACAGCGTACCTCACCCCAACCCCACGTTAGTAGTGAGAAATGCAAAGCCAGAAACTTTTAGAAAGACTCTTCTATGGAAGTCCTTACTTTTCTGCCCAGTCACAGCCTTATTTATCCCATGGTCTTTGTAAGAGTTAATACATTTAATTTCAGAAAAAGAAATTGCTTTGCTGAGACAGAAATTCACTACCCAAGAGCTGAGACGGAGTAGGGACGAAGCGGCAGTGGTCCTAGCACTTCCAGGAAGAGAAAACTTCTTCCCCACTACGTCCAGTTTGAGCACTTTCCCCACAAAACCTGTCCCCCGGCCTCTTTTCCCAAAACCTGATTAATTGGTGCCTGGATCCCCCTGGATGCCCAAGCCAGAAGCCTAGGAATCACCTTCATGTCCGACCCCACCTGTATAAGTGAGTGATGACTAAGTGCCACCAACTATACCCCTTAGCCTCTCTTCCCCACCCTGACTGCTGCTACCTGAGTTCAGAGCGTAATCATTTTGAATAAGCTATGGAAATAATCTTTTTGTTTTGGGAACTCATCCCCTCGTGCCTGCCTAACCATAATCTACTAAAGTCCTGTCAACGCCACCTTCATAAATTGAAATCCACAGAGCTCTCTAAATGTTTCTAGTGCTCTCCACAGCTGTAAAGAATGCACAGTGTCTCTGGGAGAGCCGCTGTCTCCTTCCTGAATCCGCTGGTGTTCTCAGCCCAGCCCCCTGCTGGCATGCTGTGCTCCAGCCACACTATTCTCTGCTTGTAGCTCACTAATGTGCTAGTACTTCACACACTGTCGGCACATTCTCAGAGACCTTTCTAATCGTCTCACATTCACTTGGGGTCAGAATATACACGCTTCTCCCTTGAGGACTTACCCCCGGGACAGACAGGTTTTGTGAGCACGTTCTCCAGCAGGCCCCAGTGACCTGCACCATCTAATCTTTCCTACATAGTCTGGGAAGCCGAGGCTCCCCGCAACAAGGGTGCTGTCGGCATATAAAGCGACTCTTAAGCTTCTGGGGGACCTTTGGAAATAATTTATAATCCAACCTGTTTTTTCAAAAATCACAATGCTCAAGGAACTTAGTAAGGACCTCAACAGCATAAAAAAGATCCAGTCAGAAACAAACAAAGGATACACTAATTAAAATAAACAATTTACAGGGAAACAACAGTGGAGTGGATGAAGCCTAGAGTCAAATCAATGATTTGGAACATAAGGAAGTAAAAACCAACTAATCAGAACAGAAAGAAAATAGAATCCAAAAAAAATGAGGATAGTGTAAGCAGCCTCTGAGACAGCTTCAAGATGTCCAACATTCACATCATAGGGGAGCCAGAAGGAGAAGAGAAAGAGCAAGACATTGGAAATCTATTTGAAAAAAGAATGAAAGAAAACTTCCCTAATTTGGTGAAGGAAATAGACATGCAAGTGCAGGAAGTACTGAGAGTCCCAAACAAGATGGATGCAAAAAGGCCCACTCCGAGACACATCATAATTAAAATGCCAAAGGTTAAAGATAAAGAGAAAAGTAGTTAGTTACCTACAAGGAAGTTCCCATAAGATTGTCAACTGCATTCTCAAAAGAAACTATGCAGGCTGGAAGGGACTGGCAAGAAATATTCCAAGTCATGAAAAGCAGGTACCTACAGCCAAGGTTACTCTACCCAGCAAAGCTATCATTTAGAATTGAAGGGCAGATAAAAAGCTTCCCAGACAAGAAAAAAACTAAAGCAGCTCACCATCACCAAACCATTATTATATGAAACGTTTCAGGGGCTTATTTTAAAAGATCGAAATGATGAATAAACTGGCAATAAATACATACCTGTCAACAACTGAGTCTGAAAAACAAACTAATCAAGCAAGAAGGACAGAGACAAAATTATCGATACAGAAAGCATTTTGATGGTTTCCAAACGGGAGGGGGGTGTGGAGAAATGGGTGAGGAGATTAAGAAGTACAAACAGGTAGTTACAGAAAAGCCATGGGGATGTAAAATACAGTATAGGAAATGGAGTAGCCAAAGAACTTATATGCATGGCCCATGGACATGAACATTGGTGTAGGGGTTGCCTGAGGGATTCGGGGGGTGCTAGATTGGGGGGGGGGGCAAAGGGGGAAAAATCATGACAGCTATAATAGCATTATCAATAAAATATAATTTAAAAATAAAAGTAGATAAAATTTTTTTAAATCACAAAATGATATTACCCAAATTGGAAAATCCAATTCATAAAACTGAAACAAATGACTTCACAGTATTTCTGAAAACCAAAATAGGTCTCAGTAGACATTTGCTTCCCTTATAAAATTCATATTGCTTCTAAAAGTGATTTTCAAAGGAATTCGCAAAGCAAGAAGGACACTAACTACAAAATAAGTATGACTTGAGTGACTTTGAACACAACATGAAAGAACAATACTCTGAAGGTCCAATTTCTTTTTTAAAGGATGGAATGCCACGTATTCACAACGCATAATCTCATCACTAAGTGTATTTGAGGTACTACGTGATCAGCATGCTGTCCTCAAGAAGCTTTATTTACGGAGTCAAACAAACTGGGCACAAGTGCTGCACAGAGGAGAGATGTGTTCGTTCAGACACAGGGAGGGTTTTGTGAACAAAACAGAAACTCAGCTGGATTCTACTGTGAAGACAGATGAGATGGGAGGAGGTAATCGACTGGGAACAGCTTCACCTTCCTTCCCTGAACCCAGCGACACACTGCACCCACTCCCATCCGGCTGCAGTGGAAGCCGAGCCCCTGCCCCCACGTGTATCTAAAGGCAGCACCTCTACTCACACTCCTGGTTTTTCCCATCTCACCCACTTCAGGACACCACTCCTGCAAGTACCCTCTGAATCATGAGTTTCTCATTCTCCATTGGACCACTCTATAAACACTCTAGGATGCTTCAGGGTACCCATCCAAAATAAAGAATTCCTTCCTTGACCACAAGCCTTCCATCCAGATACAACCCCATCTCTCTGCCTCTTTCCACAGGAACCCTCTTCAAACACCCTGCCCCCACGCCTTCCTCCCCGCTCTGGGCTCTGACACTCTCGCCGGCACACTCTCACCAGGCTTTCGTCCCTCCCGCTGCCCTGGATCCTCCTCCTCTGCAGGATCTCTGTAAGTTGGGAGGTCTCCTGTAAGGCCCTCTCCTCTATCTGTGGTCTCTCCTGAAATTAACTCACCTAGTCCTTTAATTACCACTTTATGCTAATGCCTCCTAAATGGACATTATCCACCCCAATCCACCCTGAGGTCCTAAACTCTTCTACCAACCACTGACTTTCTCAGCAAGTCCACTTCACCTAGTTCTTCTCAAGGTCTTGCCATCTCAGGAGGTGGCACTACCATCCACAAGGTATTTCGGCCAGAAATCCAGAACTCCTCCTGGATTACTTTTTGTTTTACCCCCTCACTTCTAATCAGCAAGTCATAGACACGCTACCTCCAAAACGCATCAAGAATCAGACCCCTGCTCATCACCCTCCCAGCTCTTTCACTGGGCCTTCCCTAGGACAACCTCCGGTTGGGCTCCCTGCTTCCAGCCTACTTTCGCCAGTTCACTCGGCACAGCAGCCAGAGGCTGTTTTTACGTGCACTTTAGATGATACCACCCCTCTGCTCACAGCTCTCCAAAGCATTCCCACTGCAAATAGCATGAAATCCCTGCCCCATAGTCCTGCTCTCTCTCCACCACCGTCACCTACACACCCTCTCCTCCTCATTCTCTGGCCACACTGGCCTGCCTTCCCCTTCCAATAAGGTCAGTCCCTTCCAGGCCGTCGCTAGCTCCTCAGCCTAGGAGGCACTTCCTCTGAGCCTCATCTGGCTCCTCATTGTTCAGCTCACAGGTCATCTCCTCGGGGAGGCCTTACCTGACCAGCACGTAGCATCTCCTGCCCCCTCCCCACGATTCCCCACCTCACTACCTTTATTTTCGTCATAGAATCTTTCTTGACCTGAACATTTTATTTTTCTTGTATTTACTGCCTACGACCCATTGGTAGATTGTAATGTCAAGAAAGCCAGAGACTGGTCTGTTTTTCTCTAAATGCCTCCAGCATTTAGACCAGTGACGAGAAGAGGATCTAAATTTTTTAAAATGCTAAATGAGGGGAGGCAGAAAGAATGAGGAATCCAAACCAAGTTGCACAATAAAAGCCAAAGGGAAAAAGTGATAGTAAGTTTGGCTCATTTTAGTGAATGAAGAGACTAGTTTGACTGAAGCAGAAAGAGAAGAGGGGGAAATAAAACGATGCTGGGAAAGGTGGAATCAAACTATGAAAGGTCTCAAATGCCGAGCTAGATAGTCTAGATTTATGTCGTAGGCACATGAGAGCCACTGAAGGCTCTTAATCACAGGAACAAGTGGAGCCCGTCAGGCGGGCTAATTTGGTAAGGATGTGCAGGGCAGTACTAGGGGAGAAGGGAGCAGGAGGGGAACGGAGCAGGGTGAGCAGTCACATCCAAGAAGATAAGGACCTAAAGCTGCCCAGACTAAAGGAACAAAAGCAATTCCTGAGAGATACATTTTGCAACACATCTAGCAAGTAGAGGTAGAGGGTGAAAGTGAAGAGAGTCTAAGGTGACTCCAAAATTTTAAGCTTCTATAAGTGGGTGAATGTTGCCTGAAATGGAGAAATCAGAAAAAAAGAAAAGAAAAAAGAGGTATTGGGCCGTGGTTCCAGAAAGTCCATCTCCAGGATCAGAGACACAGATTGGGAAGCTGGTTCGTTACCTCCTCTCTACTGCCCAGAACACTTAGTGAAGCAGCAAGTTACCTACACACCCCTTCTGGCCCCTCCACGGAGGACCGTCAGAGCAAGAGTGGGAATGGTCACTGGCTGCTGAATTCCCAGTGCCTTGAATGGAGCAGGCAGCAGAAAACTGTTAGTTGAACAAAGCATCACCTTTGTGCAAAGGTGACAGCTGAAACTCAGACAAGGAAACAGTCCTCAAAGGAAAGAGGAATCAGTCCTAGGGGCGACGTCTCCAGTCAGAGGACGGGAGGAGGAGGAGTGAAGAAATGAGGGGAAATGAGACAGAGGTGGGAGGGAGGGAGATAAGGTACCAGTGCAATCAAGGAAGGAAACATTGAAATGGTCACATTTAAAACTGCTAGGAATGTCGGGGGAAATGTCAAGAACAAGACCTAAGGAAAGGCCTCTCGGGTTGACAAGATGACTGGAACCAGCGGCTTCAGTGGGGTTCTGGTATAAAAGTGAGATTATGGCCTACAGAATGGGGTGGGGGGAGGCTGATAAGGAAGGCATGCAGACAGAAGGTTCCAGATGACCAGGAAGTGCCCCCTGACAAGCCCACTGATTGAGGCTGCCGAGAATGCCGGCCTGGGCAGGGTGAGGGACAGAACCAGGACCAGCTGGGCATGGCAGACAGCAAACCTGACAGACAGGAGAGAACACTTGTTTTTACATCCTGCAGCACAAAGCAACACTAATAGAAATACATAGCACTTTAGTACAGATAAGCACACTGAAGCTAGCAATATTTAAATAAAGCTCGAGTCCATAAGAACGTCACTCCTACCATAAGAATTTTGTTTGGGCTTTCATCTTCATTCACAACACTGCTTCTTTTGAACCCTCGTGATTTGGATGGGTCTTCATCTGTATCTGCTTCATCAGGGAAAGAAAATTTCCATCTTCCAGCAAAGGCAGGCATCTGGTCACCCACTGCAGAGGCCTGGCTTCTGGGGAAATCGTTTGTCCCAGCATCAGCTGGGTCCATCGGGAGTGGTGACGCTGAGGGCGGTGTGCTGGGTCCCCTGCTGTTTCTGGAGCTCTGTGACGGAGATGCACAATCTGCTGGAGATGCACAGCTCATGGAGAGCTCATTTTGCAAAAACTGTTTCAAACGAGTTCTTCTGCGGACACTCTTCCTCGAAATTGCGTTCCGGAGATGAGACTCTTCCGCGATGACGTACACTCTGCTGCGGCCCCTGGTCACCGCGGTGTAGACGTGCTGCCAGTGCTGGCGGCCCGCCCTCCCGACCACATAGACCACGGTCTGCTCCTCAGACCCCTGGGAGGGAAGAAGGCAAAGGGAGAATTAAAACTGTGTAACAGGTCCACGTCCTCATCCACAGAGGCAGACAAGAGGCAAGGCTGCCCACACACCCACTCACTGGCCGGACTGCTCGTACTTATTTATGGAGTTCATTTTTATCGTTATCCGAGAACTCATGCTCTAATGTTTCCTAATTATGCTGCTGAGCTCAGGCCATACAGATCCACAACTGGCTTGTAAAACCTGAAGATAAACTTTAAAGTCTATGTGCACTGCCAAGTAATAAGATAATTTAAAATGGTTGTATGAGCTTTGTGTGTAAAGGTACGATCCCAGTGTTATATTACAAAAAGAGACACTTTAAATATCCAATGATAGAATAAATATATATTTACATATATTTATATCAAGTATCTACATATAGATATTTGATATACTATTTTGCAAACATCAAAGATGCTTTAAAAATAACAAAATTTTAAAAACTGGGTGTATATGTATGTATTACAACTATGTAACACAAAGTAAAATTACTCTGATCCAAAAAAGTACCTACCAAATAAATATCAATATGTGACAAAACAAAATAAATCACAAAATAGAGGCAATTCTATCAAAATTATAACTAGACTGTCTCCAAAATGAAGGGCCTATGGATAATTTTTTCCCTTGTACTTTTCTGTATTTTTCCATTATTGAACCAATTACTTTATCAAGATAAACACAGGAGAACAATGGACCTTTGCTTTTTAAATTTAGCAAATCAAGAATTTTCTAGACAAAAAAAAAAATGCCCAAAGTCACCATGTAACTGTGAGAAAAGTTTCAAGTTTGCTAGGTATCCTTGGTTGCTGTATTTTCTGCACCAACATAAATAAGAAATGGTTTGAACCATTATCTCCCTGAAGGTTTCCACATTAACCTGCCACAGGGAGAACTGTGGGGGGACAGATGACAAGACGGGCATTGAGGAAATACAGATCCACCGTTAAAACAAGGAACAACCTTATACACAGCAAGCACTTCTATCTCCCTAAACACAAAGAATTTGATTCAACTCTTCAGGTGGTAAAAGTCTGACGAACACTTCCTCCCAATACTGCTGAGTCGCAGAAACTGACTGACACGATACTTGATTACAGAAATGCTAAATACATTTAACAGATACACAGCGCCATTTCTCTGTGTATTTACACTGTGTATTCCAAAACAGGTACACATCTACCTAAATTTAGCTAACTGAATTCTTACTTATCGATTAAGTAACACTGAGAAAAATTCAATAACCCCATAATCAGTCTCCCTGCATTCACACTTGCTACAATCCACTGTCCTCATGGTAAACTACAGTGACATTTGTAAAGTGTAAATTCAATCACATCCAACTCTGCTTAAAGCCCCTTCGTGGCTCCCAGGCTCTCACAGTCCCATCTTCTTCATATGGCTCACATCGCCCTCCAGGAGCCAGCCTCAGCCCAGCTCCCCTCCCTCCTTCTTTCCCCTTTCCTTCGGATGAGCCCGGCTCGTCCAGCACAGGGAACCTCCCTAAGGTCCTGCCAGTGCTCCCCAGGCCACAGCCCCCACGCAGCCTCTGGGCTAGGCCCCTGCCCTCCACCCCCCATATTTTCCAGCAGCCTACACTTCCTCTATGACAGAATTTTTATCAGACCAGAATGTAACTTCCTAACTGTACTCCTCAATGGACTGTGAGTTCTGTGAAGGCAGGACCACATCTACTTTGCCCACTGCTCTTTATTCAGTGTCACACTGAATGAATGACAATCAAAAGTAAAACATCATGCCAAAGGTGTGCGCAGGAAGCAGGACATGGACTCCTAACTCCACCTCAATGACCTGCTATAAATCATATATCCATTTCTTTAAGTCTTCCTTTAATCATTAATACTATCAAACTTCTTAAAGAGGCACATTTTATATATTTACTTCTTTTTTAATATCCTCACCCAAAAATATGTTCATTGATTGTAGAGTGAGAGGAAGGGAGAGCGAGAGAAGCATCAGTGTGAGAGAGAAACACTGACTGGTTGCCTCCCGTAGGCACCCCAGCCAGGGACCAAACCCGCAACCTTTCGGTGCACAGGACGGCACTCCACCAGCCGAGCCGCCTGGTCGGGGCAACACATTTACCGCCAATTACATACATAACTACTCTAAATCTGTTCTAAAATACAACTTGGGTGAATAGACACAAACAATTACTACCCTTCATGATTTTACAGATTTAGAATCTGAAAGTCAGTATGGGCTTTAGAAAGGGTCCAAAAACTTTTTCTATAAGGGGTCAGAGAATAAATGCTTAGGCTTCGCAGGCCAGATGGTCTCTACAGCTACTACCCACCTTCTTCCGTGTGGTGCAAGGCAGTCATGGTCAGTACGTAAATGAATGTGACCGTACCGATAAAATTCCTTTACAAAACAGGTGGTGAGCCAGATTTAACTACTGTACTGGATAATAGGTAGTCCTACAAGACCCCAGGAGGTGACCTGGTCCCCTACCCTCCTACCCCCTTACCCCACATTACTTCTTTGACCTCATCGCCGGTCACTCCCACAGCGGCCTCCTTGCTGTTCCTGTTCTTCAAATATGCCAAACAGGCCCCCACCTATGAACCTTGACTTTGGCTCTTCCCTCTACCTAGAATGCTCTTCTCCCAGATACCCACATGGTTAACTTCTGTACCTCTTTCAAGCCCATGCCCAAAAGCCGCCTTCTCAGTGAGGTCTATGCTGACCACTTATTTAAAATTACAACTGTACCCTACCCCCACTTCTTTTCCAGAGCATTTACCACCTTCTAACATCACATGTAGTTTACATATTTGTTCACAGCTGTGTGTGTCTCTGTCCTCTTCCCCACCAAACATAACCCTCACACCGGCAGGCACCTTTGCTTCATGGCCTGACCCATACCAAGCACCCAGAACAGAGTTTGACTGAATAAATACTTGTTGAACTGAACCAAAATTGGAAGAAACAAACTATGCTGATGTAAGATAATGATGAATGTCCTATTTCAGCCATGAAATAAGAGCCAGGTTTAGTAAACACTAAAGGGACACTTATTTACTCCAACCTCAACCCATAATCACGAAGACCCCTTCACTCTTCATTTGCCTGGATTATAGTGAAAGACTAGATTATAATTTTGAGGAAATCTCTCAGAAAATACAGCGAAATGATAACATGATAGAAAACAGAAGAGATGGATAAGAAATAGAGATAATCCCTTCTGGAGGTCCAAAATAATAAAGGTTCTAGAAAGACAAAACAGAGAAAACTCGGGACAAGAAATAAATCTTAACAAAATTATTGAAGACAATTTCCCAGAATTGAATGATACAAGTTTTCAGAATTATAGAAACCATGAGGGAAATTTCTCTAGGATCTCACAGCCAGAAATTTCGCACATCTTCACACCTGGCTGTATTTTTATCCACACATACACACTCAACCGACTGCTTCTCTCTCACTCTGGGACGGTGAAGCCTGACCAGCAGCCTAACTGCACCAGCAGGCACACAGGCCGGCGCGTGCGGCAGCAGCCGGCCCGCTCCCGGCAGGGACCCTTTGCCAGCCTTACCTTCACTTTCCACTTGATATCATTTATCTTTGTCTTTTTAAAAGTCATGTTAAATTGTGCACATTTTATAGCTGTTTCAAATGCTTTTTGGAACTGAGATGGAGTAAGTTAAATACAACACCATCCACTTAAAAATTTAAAAACCTACACTAATTAATGTCCACCTACTAGTAGAAGACATAGGCTAACCTACAAAATTTTTCTGCGTGAAAATGGAGGTCGATGCAGCTTCATCATTAAAGCAACATTCCACCATCAGAGAGGGGAGCTCAAAAACAGTGAGATACATAACAGAGCCACGAATAACTTATGAGAATTCAAGAGTATTAAAATAGAGCTTAAAGCTAAGTTGCACCAAGTGCACTGTAGTCCAGGACTAGATCCTCAAACAACGAGAACAAAAAGGCACAGTGAAAAAACTACTGAAATCCAGATAAAGTATATAGTTTACTTAATAGCACTGTACCCAGAGCAACTTCTTTTTTGACACATGCCAGAATTGTGTTAGATATCAACACGAAGGAAAGCTGGGGGAGGGGTACATGGAACTCTCTGTGCTATCTTCCCAACTCTTCTGTCAATCTAAAATTACTCCCAAATAAAAGGTGGTTGCCTCACGAGGGTGGAGAAAGGGGATACATTTCTCAAAGCTCATCCAGCTTTATAATTAAAATATGTATGCAAATTATACCCCAATAATAGTTGATTAAATTAAAAAATAAGCAAGTCACAAAAACCTCCAGGCATCACAATAACCATTTGTGTAAACCTTGGTAATCCCGTTTCTGTATGGATGGACAAATGCAGAGTGGAAGCCACTTCTGAGGAGGGTGGGAAGGGACTGGACCAGGGCGGAATAAGTGAGGCACTTGCTTAGGATGCAAAATTTAAGAGGATGCCAAGAAACTCAGCCATCAAGATAAATAATATTTGAATAAAATAGTCCTAAAAGTCAAAATTTAAACCCAAAAAGACCCATGATGAACAAAATAGCAAAATTTTTAATAAAGACAAGCTCAGTAACAGTGCCAAGCCCGGCAACCCAGGAGGTGGAAGTAAGAGACAAACTCAGTCCTGAGGTCCTGACCCTTCTCTCCCGGGTGGGGGGTGGGGCCTGAGGGATGAGGCTTTAACTATGGTGGCTTAGTTCCTGAATAAAGAGGGTTCTAAAGTCAACAAGAGTAAAAGGTTCATGGCTCTACAGGATTTTCTGTACTTTGGTGCATTTTGTTTCCTAATTAAAAAATAAATAAAAGCAATAAAAATTAGGAACAAAATAATACAAGGTGTTCTATGGCAGGGCTAGCTATTTGAATAGCTCCATGAATCTCCAGGCTTACCTGAAATGTGTGAATAGTTCTTGCCCATGCATGTCTTATGCGACAGTGTTTCATCAGTTTCCCAAAATCCACAGTTACTTCCAAGCCGGCCATATTATTAATGGTCAAATATCTTTTCTTTCCAGCAGTTATATCCGTTTTATCCTGTCACCACAACAAAGGACTATTCTGTACGTTTTCAAATATGCACACTGTGAAGATATCTATAGTTGCACTGAACATAAAATGGGAGCACCCCGTAAGTAAAATACCATATTTTTTGGACTATAAGACACACCCCCTCCCCCAAATTTGGGAGGAATAATGGTTGTTAATGCTGCTGTTGAGTTCTGTTTCCATTTACATTGGTGAAATATTATGTTATTTATGTTATTAAATATTTTACATTTTTTTGCTTCAAAATTTTTTGTCCTATTTTCCTCTAAAACCTAAGTGTGTCTTATGGTCCAAAAACTACGGTGCAAAATAAGCCTGCATATTCACTATAATTGTTAAGAATTTCAAAAGGCTGAAAATCTATGCTTAAGCACCAACTGAACATACATGGGCACAAACATTTTAATAAATACAAATGGATGTTTCTGGTCCTTGAAACTTAACCAAATTTGACTCTCTGGAAAACAATCCGTTGTTGCCTTTCTTATTTGAAATCTATACATTTTATTTCTTGTACTGACAACATAAGTCTGCATATAACTCTTTGCAGAAACTACTTCCCACCACTTTTAAAGAATAAGCTTACAAATTTAAGAGGGTGTTTACACAAATAGAACAAATTCAAGGTGACCACTTCTAAAGTTTCTGTATGAACGCAGCCACCACAGAAATGATGCTTTGTAAAATATCATGTGCCACTTGTTTCTTATTCTTGTTAGTCAAGCACTTCAAACTTATTAAAAACGTTTTTTTTTTTCCCCACAAAGTCTTCCAGAAACTCATTTTATGAAGCCAGCAACACTCTGACACCAAAATCAGACAAGACACTACTGGAGAACTGCAGACTGATACCCCTCCCACACGTGGATGCAAGAATCCTGAACCGAATATTATGGAAGAAGAATGTCAGCTTTGATATGTCTGGATTCTGAATCATGCCTGGGGCAATTTGTAAAAAAGGAAACCTATCTCTAATAGGTAAAAGGTACTCTCTGTTATCACTCACATTTGTTATGAAAAATACTTCTCCATTGCAGAGTCGAATACCACTCTCAAAGTCGTGTTTATTTTTAGCAACATCATGAGGAGTCCAATTAAAGTCCTCACCACTGGCCCCTAGTTCATTATTTTGCAGACTGTTGAAGGTATTCTCAGGCAGTAAATCCGAGAGATACGCATTCTTGGTACAACAAATTTTATCACCAATTCCAAATATAAGTCTCTTCTGATGGTCTCTGGATTAGAAAATGATAATAAATCATTAAGTCTAGAGAACCTTAATTTCATTTTGTTTAAGCAGTAAGTTCCACTCAGACCCAAATCCAATGCTCAAAATAATTTCTATACTTTCTTTGCTCCACTTTTGTTCTCCAAAATTCCACAAGAAATCAGGCTCCCACGGGTGTAATACCCTACACTCTCTGCGCCACCTCTAACTCAAAACCATGGCCCAGCCCAATTGTTTGTCAGAAGTCTTAGCACATATGCTGACGTCTCTCTTTCCCTCTACATTCTAAAAATTACCAAAAATCTACTGATTTCAAGCATCTACTGATTCTACCTTTTAAATTTATCCTCTCCTCCAATCACTCCTATCACTACCCTATTTCAGGTCTTTCAGCACTTATACATATTTCTATTATAATAATTATATTAAAATAGAAGCAAATTGAATAAATGCTAGCAATATACCAGTTGCTACAATAAGTGCATAGGCATATTATTTCATTTCATCCTTAACTACAGCTCTGTGAGGAAATTCTGTATAAGTATCCTCTTTTACATACATGGAAAGGCGAAATTACCTGCCTAAGTTCACAGTCACTGAGACCCAGATTGCATGGCCCCAACCTTGTGCTTTTTAACCCTGTGTTAGGCTACCTAACATTTGTGTGTGTATTTTTCCTTAACTAACATATCTCTGGGTTCTCTGCACTTAATACATAGTAGGTGCTGATAAATGCTGTAGATGTAAGTTAATTTTCCCTATGTGTAAACAGAGTGCTTTTCTATACCCATATTTCTCTGAGTGAATGTTCACTACGGTGTTCTCTGTAGGCATCTTGTTGTTAAGGTTCTTGGAGACACTACACAGATATTGTAATTTGAAAAATGCTCCTGAATGCCCCATGCTCATCTTAGAGAAGCTGGAGTTTGCCAACCTGGACACCACAAGGAAAGCTTTATTCCTTATTTTTCTTACCAAAAATCAATTCCTAAGAATATATATTATATTTAATTGACTAGATCATCTTCACCAATAAGAAAAAATGATTTTTAAATATGTGGCTACAGTGCTAAATGTCAAAACAAACAAAGAACAGTGAACCCAGGAAGGACCGTCCCCAGAGTTTCAGGTTGCCCGTGCTCACTTGATCAGGTGGCCCGTGTAGTGCCTGCCGCAGCAGACGTTGATGACGTCGCAGTCTTGCCTGAAACACGGAAAATGCAAGGGTCACGCAATGGTGACTGTTCAGTGCATATTTCTATTATCAACAACTATGACACACTGGATTCTATACAAGGTCTCCAGGACTTTCTCCAGGAAGAAGTATTTCATAAATTTGATCTTAACATAAACATTTGTTCCATTCCGATTTCCTGTGAGTTTCCAAATAGTGTACACTATTTTGTAGAAAGAGCCCTGTTTAGAAACTGCCCTCTGCATGTTTAACAAAGAAATACCTCAAAATAAGAGAGAAAATGAATGGTGATGAACTAGAAGAGACTCTTACTCAAACAGTATCTATATTAATAAGCAATGAGATTTAAAAACTAGATAAAAAAATTAAAATATTGCAAATCCTTTACCTTCTAAATGCAATAAATTGTGATGTCTCTGCACGCTGTAGGTCATTTTCTTTGAGTAAAGTACTCACGGCAGAATATAAATCTGACAATTCAAGAGAAAAAAAATTAACATGGAAAAGCATCAAATTACAACACTGTTTCTGGGGAGAAACAAGTTCAGAATTCCTGCTGACGGGCGCGGAAAAACGTCTCATACAAGGTCCCCCTGGGAACATCAGCTGCGCCCCCACATCAGCCAGAGCGACAGAAGAGAAAACAAAGACAAGGGTTCCAGACAGCCCGTCCGCAACAGAGTGCAGCCACAGACAGGACAGCTGCTCATTTGTACCGCAGTCGCTGTAAATTCACTGAGGGCTTGTGAATGCAGAATTTAAACTATGAACGAGAGGATAAAATACATAACAGAATTACTAATGCAAGATTTCTTTCTGTTTTAAATTCTGGTGACACTAGAGGTAGTGAGTTATAATTTGAGAACTGCCCTGCCTATGTTATTTCATTTCATTTCATCTTCGCAACACTCACATGAGGCATGAATTATTTAGTGGATGCACACCAGTATAAGTACTGAGACACTTACATAATAACTGGAAGACAGTCACTCCCAAACACCACAAGGCCCGCTCCCACTCCAATCCTGTCTGTCCCTCCCCCAGAACCCATGGGCCTGCCCAGGATTCAGCAGCTAAAGGGTTAGCCCTGGCGCAGCAGGAGCATCCACCCCCACAGTGACTATACCCTACCAGCTAGTAAATAGTCTGACTGCCACCACTACATCCTTGTTATGAATGTGACACTGAGGCTTTTGGAAGCAAAAGTAACTTTCCAAATGGAGTAGGGAGGCTGGACTCCCCTTCCACAGCTCAGATCCCTAACACTGCCGACATCCACTCACAGCTTGCCCTTCCTCAGAGCACGAAGAAGCAGCTTCCTCTCATTTCTCAGCAATCTTACAAAACAAAAAACATGTCTCAGGAAAGGGAGGAGATATAAAAATTGAGAACATTCCAGACTTGTGTGCCTGTCCCTCACAGCAGGTAAATCACAGGAGAATGAAGAAGCCCGGGCCTCGTGATGCCCTGTTTGGAGAAGGCTGAACTGGCTGCCAGCTGGGTGCTGCATTTTTCAGATGATGGGAGGGTTACCACTAAAAAATGGCCAACACTCAGCTCACCCCCAGGCAGGAACAGGCATTCCCGGAGGTTCTATAGAAGAGTGTTTCCTTCCACAGGGACGGGACCCTGCTATTCTGCTCCTTGCTCTTTTCACTCTCTCTTCTCTGCATCTCACTGATGACAGGTACGGCATCTCAACGTGGACACTGGGTTTCATGAATTCTAAGGTACACGGTTTTCTCACGTTTTAACGTCTCTAAAATGCTAACCCAGCAGTGAAGCCTGTCTTAGGTCTTTGTACTCCACAATACTGAGAATAATTTACTCAACAACTTAATTAATTATTAATGAAAAACTACTATATGCCTCTCTAATGAATTTATTCAATTTTCTTAAAGAAAAGACTAATTTTCCAGGTAAAACTTGTAATTAAGAAGGGAAAACAGCATCAATTAAGCTCTGCCTCCATTCTGAAAGAGACAATTTTTTAAGTACATTTTCATTAATGTAAAGAATGGCATCAGAAATAAGCAAACCAAATTTTAGGTAAATCTAAATGCAGTGGCAAAGAGTCCAAGTTACTTAACCATCTAAGTCTCATTTTCTTCATTTATACTAGTACCTACTATTAACTAAGCTGTGACAATAAATATCTATTCATTATTTACAATGTGTTTAGTAAAAAAATCACAGAATAGTACACAGTCTATAATCCAATTGATGAAAACACCAAGCCCTTAGTATGTATCTGACCTTTATAGGGTTGTCTTGAGGGAGAGGCAAAAGGAAGATTACAGGGAAATATTAATTTTTACTTCAAGCACTTCTGTATCATTTGACTTTTTTATGGAATATAAATTATTTCGATAATCAAAAATACCAGAAGGCATTTATAGAAGATGACATATTAAAAAGAGAAAGGGGTGCTTATTCTCAGCTGGTCTGCCAAAGACCCCAGGCGCCAACCCTCGGCCCCCACGCAGCCCCGCTCTGTCTCCGATGAGATGAAAGAAACTACCACGAGCCAGGAGGAACTCGCCAGACTGCAGGCACACGTGCACAGTGGTGGGAGAGGCACTGCCCATAGAAAGAAGAAAGTGGTTCACAGAACACCTACAGCAGACGATAAAAACTTTCGGATCTTCAAGAAGTTAGGGGTACACATATCTCTGGCATTGAACAGGTAAATATACTCACAAAACAAGAGTGACCCACTTGCACAACCCTCAGGTTCAGGCATCTCTGGCAGTGAACACGTTCACCATCACAGCTGACAGAAATGCTCCCCAGCGTCTTAAATCAGCTTGCTGCGGACAGTCTGACTAGTTTAAGGAGACCCACTGAAGCCCCGCCCAAACGACCTGTGGATGGGAAAGCACCACTTGCTACAGGGAGGATGATGATGATGAAGTTCCAGATCTCGTGGATAATTCTGATGAGGCTTCCAAGAATGAAGCAAACTGAATTGAGTCAACTTCTGAAGAAGATAAACTTGAAGAAGTTACTGGGAGCTGCTATTTTATATTATAACTGCTTTTTCAAATTTTGTTTGTGGATCTGATAAAATATAGATCTCTAATATTTTTAAGCCCTATCCCCTTGGACACTGTAGCTCTTTTCAGTTTTCACTTGTACACCAATCATTCTTTGCAACTAATTAAGCTAAAGAAGCCTGAGAATAAAGTTTGAAACCAAGGTTTAAAAAAAAAAGGGATATTGAAACATGTGAATGAATGCTGACCCAAGGGAACTGAGATTAGTGACATACAGAAAGAAGAAAGGCTTAAAGATAAAGTTCTATGTCACTAAGTTTCACACACAGAGTGAAAGCAAAGTAGGAACGATACACTTTTAAGACCTGTGGAAACTAGGACTTCCGGTCAAGATGACAGCATAGGCAGACATGGTTTGCCTCTTCGCACAACGATATCAAAATTACAGCTAAAACAAAAAACAGCCATAATTCAGAACTGACAAAAATTGGGTTGAATGGAAGTCTGCAGTTACGGAATTAAAGAAACCACATCCATCAGACTGGCAGGAGGGGGAGAGACACAGAACAGGCTGGTCCCATATCTATGTGTAGTGGATCAAAAATTCAGGAGGGATATCTCTGGAGCAAAGAGTCCCACCCCACACCAGGATCCAGTGCTCAGGGTTCCAATGCCAGGAAGATAAGTCCCTACAACTTCTGGCTACAACCCAGCGGAGATTGAGTTGGTGGAAAAAACTCAACCACCAGGAGCCCCAAGCGTTTCCATTAGAGCACAGGTGGCAAACACAAGGCCTGAAGGCTGAATCCGGCCCTCCACCTTGTTTTATCTGGCCCAGCACCTTGTTTATACCCAGCAGCAGCACCAAGCTCTCGCTTAACTGTGAAGGGTAGTTACATTTATACAGTCCCAAAATTACATTTGGCCCTTTGAAGGCAACCGCAAGGCTGATGTGGCCCTCGTGAAAATGGGATTGATATCCCTGCATTAGAGAACTTCCACGTGAACTTACTCAAATTCACTCCAAGCTCCAGCACCAGGGTAACAGCTTGGAGGGCACCAGTGGCATACAGGCAGGAAATGAAGTTTCTGGCATCAAGGCGAGAACTGAGAGACAGCTTCCTCCCAGGCAGAAAAGCAGGAAGAGCCATGCTGGCAAGCAGGTGTTACATCTGAGACTCCATCAATGTGGCTAACACTATTTGCCCTGCCCTGGTAATTCCCTGAGGCTATGTCCCACCCAGCTTACAGCTGTTAACAGATTTTCCATAAAATGAATGGCCTTAGCTCTTGCTTGACAACTTCCTAAATCCTTTCAAACAAGCAACAACTGGCCTCAGTGAGTCCCCAATCCCCATACCTCTTGCTAAGTGACCCCATGCTTGGCACTCTCAGTAGCCAGCCTAGATTCACAACTTGGCTTTATCTGGGAATCTTCATGGCCAGCACAAGTAGCAGCCATCTCAGGTTGTTTTATAGCTCAGGCAGGGTGGCCCAGGGGAAAAATACAGTTGGGAGCTAACTTCGGTCTGCATCACCTGGGAAACCCCAGGGCCTGTGCACCCAGTGGACAGCCAGAGACCATGTCAGAGTACCACCACCCTGCCCCTGCACAGTTAATCCTCCACAGAGGGTGGAAGTTGGTGGTCAGTGGTCACAGCCAATCCTTGCCCCTAAATGGACTGGGAAAATCCTTCCCATTGACATGCCAACAGCAACCAAGGCTCAACTATAAGAGGAGGGTTACTCAGGCCCTGTGAAGGGAACACCTCAAGTACCCAGCTTGGGTGATGATAAGGGAGACTATGCCACCAGACCCTACAGGACAGCTAAGACATTAGGCCACACTATCAAGGCAGGGAGTCAAAGAAGCTCTACCTAATACATAGATACAAATATAAAGAGGCTGCCAAACGAAGAGACAAAGAAATGTGGCCCAAATAAAACAGATCAAAACTCCAGAAAAAGAGCTAAACAAAATGAAGATAAGCAATCTATCAGATGCAGAGTTCAAAACACTGGTTAAAAAGTTGCTCAAGGTATTTAGTGAGGACCTCAAGAGCATAAAAAAAGATTCAGTCAGAAGCAAAGAATACACTAATTGAAATAGAGAATAATTCACAGGGAAACAACAGTAGAGTGGATGAAGCTATGAATCAAATCAATGATTTGGAACACGAAGAAGCAAAAAACAACTAATCAGAAGAACAAGAAGAAAAAAGAATCCAAAAAGTGGGAATTGTATGAACAGCCTCTGGGACAACTGGAAGAGGTGCAACATTCTCATCACAAGGGTGACAGAAGAGAAGAGAAGGAGCAAGAAACTGGAAATCTATTTGAAAAAATAATGAAAAACGACTTCCCTAATTTGGTGAAGGAAATAGACTTGCAAGTCCAGGAAACACAGAGTCCCACACAAGCTGGATGCAAAGAGGCCCAGTCCAAGACACATCATAATTAAAATGCCTAAGGTTAAAGATAAAGAGAGAATCTTAAAAGCAGCAAGAAAAAAGCAATTAGTTATCTATGGGGAAGTTCCCATAAGACTGTCAGCTGATTTCTCAAAAGAAACTTTGCAGGCTAGAAGGGACTGGCAAGAAATATTCAAAGTCATAAAAATCAGGGACCTACAGTCAAGATTGCTCTAACCAGCAAAAGCTATCATTTAGAATCAAAGGGCAGATAAAGAGCTTCCCAGACCAAAAAAAACTGGAGCTCATTATCACCAAACCATTATTATATGAAATGTTAAAGGGACTTAAATTTAAGAAAAAGATCAAAACTATGAACAATAAAATGGCAATAAATACACACCTGTCAACAAATGACTCTAAAAAACAAACTAAGCAAACAATAACAGAAACAGAATCATGGGTACAGAGAGTGTTTGATGGTTTCCAGATGGGATGGGTGGAGGTGAGGTGATTAAGAAGTACAAATAGGTAGTTACAGAATAGCCATGAGGATATAAATTAAAGTACAGTATAGGAAATGGAGTAGCCAAAGAACTTATACATGTGACTTGTAGACATGAACAATGGTAGGGGGATTGCCTGAGGGATGGGGGGGTGTGAGGGATTTGCTGGGTGGAGGGGAGTAAAGGGGAAAAAGTGGGACTACTGTAACAGCATCATCAATAAGATACAGTATGTTGGGAGCCACCCTGCCTGGTTTCACAAGCTGTAACCTGCCCCCCCCATGGTTAAGGCTGAGTGGGCGACCTTCAGGCCAGAAGCCGCTAAGGAGATAAGCTTATCTCCCTGGCAGGGCACCGCTCCAGCTCCTTTTTCTTCACCCTGCCTGGCACCCAATGCTTAATCTGTTAGCCAATGATGGGTAAGATTCCCCAAGGGGGGAATGACCTAAGACAGGCACAATCACGGGGAGGCCCCAGGGAAGTACTTGGGGGGCTATAGCAAAAGGGGGTGATGGACCCCCGCCCCTTGGCTTTGACATAGCCTGAGTCCTCATTCTGTCTGCAAGAAATCTCCTAACCTCTTGGCTGCCTTACTTCCCCTACCTGACTTAAGCCTGGAACAATGCCTTAAGCCTGAAACAATGCCGGTGGTGGGTGCAGCCCTGTGCTAGAAAGGGCAGTTTCTGTGGGCAATCAGGCCTAAGAATATGTAAAATCCTGTGAAACCTGCTTTGTTTAGAAAGCTCTCAATTAAATGATAAGGGTCCAAGCAAGAAGTGAGTTTGTTCCTCAAAGTTTTATGGCTCTTTAGCTATCTGATCCTGACTCAAGATAGGCCCTCAGAGTTCTTTATATGTTATCTATTGTTTGATCCTTACTGCCTGATGATTAATGAGAGCTTTACCTGTATTCCTGTGCAAAATGAACCTAATAAAAGCCCATTGAGGAAAAGGCTCTTGGCCCTTCTCCTTTGAGAGATCAGCCACCTTTCCTCCCCAAGCAGGTCTTGTCTTGGTAGACTTATTCTCATCTGTGGTGGCTGGGGACAGTGTGGGCGGAGCCCCCGCATAATAATAAAAATTATAGAAAAAAGACCTGTGGCAACTGCAATGAATTCTCAATAACAATCATTCAAATTTTCACTAATTCCATTCTGAGTAAACCATTACACTATTTTTAAAAGCTTGCTAAGTACATTTATAATAAAGATCAAAAGGTTCAATCTATTTAGGTTCATTTGCAATAGATAATTTAATTATTATTTATCAAAAACTAACATTTATATAATTTCTCAAAATTGATGAATGCTCTTAACCCTCACAACAGCTCCAGAGGCACTGCCACTGTGGTTCCCTTCTACAAATGACTGAGTGATGTGACTTGCATTGTACACATAAGCGCAAAGACTTCCTATCCCATGCTCTTTCCCAACCCTGCCATGGTGTCACCCTAACACCCTTAGTCAGAAATGATGCTTGTCCATTTAATAAGAAATAGGGCAGAAATATTAGGGCTCAACTGGGCAACAGCTGACAGCCATTAATTTTGTTTCACAAATATACTCAGAATAACAAATGTATTTACTTTTTCCAACTTCTATGAAAGGAAAACTTCATTACAACATGCTTTCCCCTGAATGAACTTGGATTACTGGAGCTTCGCTTTATTTTAAACTAATCATCTGCATTAATTTTTTCACTCAATGAATATTTATTGAGCCCTTAGTATGTATGTGACAAGAGCTTATTTTTTCAAAATTCTAGAGTAATGCTTGTGATGATTAATAAATTATTTCAGTGCCTAATTTTTACTAGCAACACATATCTTTATCATCAAATAAAAGTATAACTAGTCATTTAATAACTATATTACAAAACTGAAATACTTAACCCTATATAATACAGAAGTTTATACTCACAAGATTGATGATTATTTTCTGATAACTGAGAACTAGCATCCTCTTCTGGGAGTCTCACAAAAATAAATGTTTTATCTTGTACTGAGACAGGGAATGTTGGATCATCAGAGATATTCAGCTCTGCATCAAATTTTGGAAATTGGCGGTTTGAGATTCTTAAAAAAGATAAAATCATATACCAAGAGCCTTAATATCCAAAAATGTGTCTTCATAATATGATCAGAGGTAATGTCATTACAATAATTAATATCAGTTATTAGATAAATAGGTCAAATAGGCTACCCATATACATGTAAATAGCAACTGACTTTTAAAACAGAATTAACAGATTAAAAGCATTAGAAAAAACTGTCAGGGAATTTACTAAGCACCATTGTGAGAACTTGACCTACTTTTCTCCAAATGGTAAAAGAACTATACAAGGTAGGTAATATCCTCATTTCACAGGTGAGCAACATGAGACTCAGTCAACGGTGGTGGGTTGCCCCTTGGGCACAGAGGTAGGAAACAGGGGAACTAGGCATCAATCTGGGCCCATGTGGCACCAGGTCCTTTTCTATTTAAATTAGTTTGGACTCTTTGGAGCCTTATCCATATGTTTACTCTTTCTTTTCCCCTCTCTTCTGTGTATATCATATATATGACCTCATTTTCCCAGTTGAACCAATATCCACATCTTTTCGTTGCTTCCAGTTCTTCTGCATCCCTCTTTAGTTCTTGTATTTCCCAAGATTAGCAAATTATATCAGAAAACAGAGTAAGGGGAAAGTGCCTTGACATAATAGAGTTTCCCCTTGGTTATCTGGAAGACGGCTGACTCCCTGGAGACCAAATAGCGGCCTGGCTATCAAAAGCAGTGGTACCCTACCATGCATCCGTAACTCTTCCTGGTGGAGGTGGAAGGAAGGAAAGGAGAGGGAAGAAGTTTGTCCCTGCTGGGAATATCCCAGATTTAATTTCTTGGGAATTGAAAATCACCTCAAATTTCCTATTTCTGACCCAGGACATGTAGCATATTTCTATCTCAAGGAACTTTTCCCTGGTATCACTGGGGTCCTTCCATCATTGAGTATTTGGTGATGGTGATTAAGAAGAAATGATGAAGGAAGCACAGCTCAGCCCAAATGGTATCAAAAAGGTTACTAAAAGTTACTAAAAGGCATTCCTAAATTTCAGATAAAACTGAGCTGTAAGAACTCTTTAGATTAAAGAGTGCCTTAGATTCTCCTAAGACTTTTAGACTTGAAAATGACCAAACATCTACCAACATCTCCAAAATCAGCAGAAGTATTACAGGAAAAGAATATTATACATCCGACTGCATTATTTTTCTTAATGTTTTAATATAAACCTATATCATCTACCCTATTCCTATCAATTATTTCTCTACTACCCCACCCTATCCAGGGTAGACAAGGACATAGAGAAAACAGGTTTTAATGTTCTAGTTTCTGCCAATATCCAACCAAGGAAATGTTCAGGCAACAGAAACATCTTGTAAAAGAGAGTCAAAAACAAAGATAAATTTCGTTCAATGAATAAAACAGTCTCTTAGTGCTCTCAGGTCCCATCGCATCTACTACAGAAGACCGCTCTAAAGACGTGGGCAGAAGCCAAGGGAAAAGAAGTGCTCTTTACTACTTAAAGGAGATTAATGTGTCACGGATGCCACCAAAATTCATCAAGAAGCAAAATGTCATACTCATTTATTTTGCTTTGGGCTCTCTTACAAAAATTATAGGTAATCTTCTTCCTCAATTCTCCTTTGAACTCATTTTTAAGTCTCTGTTCCCCTTGGGCTTATTCTAGTCTCTATGCCTGATGCAACTTTAATTCACATGTACACTTTTTAAATCAGGAAAACATATTTATTCTTAAATGCATTACTGGACCAGTAATAAAAAATACTAACTTCGTTTTTTTAATTGTAGGGCAAAATGTGTGTGTGTGTATACATCTGAAGGAAGGAATAGGTTTGCTAAAAGGGCATAGTCAATGTTCTGCGCTGAATCACCCTAATTCAAAAACTAATATGTATTTTTAAACTTTTATTTCTAATCCAACAGAGAGAAAATATAAAATTTTATATTTTTACCTTGTAGCATTGTCCACAATTAGCTCAGATTCTGCTCTGTGGTTTGTCTTCAGTTCAATAGCACACTTTCTTGACTTAAGAGTGTCAAAAAGATCTTCCAGCAAGTTACCAGGTTCAATGCTGGGTAACTGTCTAATATCACCTGAGAAAGGGAAAAACAGATACAGTAGGTTTTAGGTACCTGGGGTCCTAAAATTTAGGAATTATTTTTATTTCTTCCTACTGATACATGCTGTAATTATAAAAACTTACTTACTCTGAGAAAAAAAAGGCCCCAAAAATCTTTGTTTAAAATGACTTGAGAACATTGTCTTTAAAAATATGTAGCAAAAACTACCATTCAGTCCTGGCTGGTGTGGCTCAATGGTCTGAGAAGCCAGACTGTGAAGCAAAGAACCAGTTTGATTCCCAGTCAAATGCCCAGGGCGCATGCTTGGGTTGTGGGCTAGGTCCCCAGTAAGGGGGTGTATGAGAGGCAACCACATATTGAAGTTTCTCTCCCTTTCTTTCTTCCTCCCTTCCCTTCTTTCTAAAAATAAATAAATTTTTAGAAAAAAAAGTACTATTCAGATTAAATAATATAAGATATAAAAATTAGCAATAACACAACAAGGTAAAATTTGAATCAAACTTCTTTCATACCTATAGCCACAGGCAAACTGTTTAAGGACATTGAAATTCACACTGAAATTCTATATTTTTCTTCATTAAATCAGATAGTCTACAGAATAGTATACCCAAAAGAATCTAACTGCATCTCACCAGAATTGAAAAGGACTTCAGAGACCTGTGAGGTCTAATTTGAGTTATTAGCTCAAAAATCATAAAAATACTTTTAAGAGGTTTATAATTCAGATATTTTATTATTTCCAAATTAATCTGTATCTTGATTTACTCTGAATCTGTGACAGTTTTACCATTTTCATAGTCATCGTTTAGGTGGTCAGCAGTGACCCCTCGCGACTCTATTCCATTCACATCCTAGCCTGCCAGTGTCCTGGCCAGAGCAAAGAACCACCCGAATGGCTAAGAGAGCGGTCAAACTGAACTCAGTGTAGTTCTAGCATGGGCTCTGACAAATGACTTTCCACCTGTAAAATGTGGATATTAAGTAGTGAAATTGAATAAACAGTCACTTAACCACAATGCTTTGAACTAAACAATTAGAATTCCAACAATATTTTAACTTACCAAGAATAATAAGCTTAGAAAGTTTGGAGTGCTCAAGCAATAAATTTAAAACAGATTTGAAGACTCCCACAGACACCAAACTCCCTTCATCCACAACTAGAACTCTAACTGAAGAAAATTTCCATGGATTGCTCATGTCCGTTTTTTTCTTCCATGAATAGAAGCTATAATTGACCTGCAAGTAAAGTATTGCATTTCTAAGTTCAGGTTATAAAATTTACAAAAAAAACCAAGCAAACCATTGACAACATGTTATTTTAAAACAACTCTTAAATTGGAGGAAGCGAGTATAAGTAGAGTAACATAGGGGAAGGGCTGAAGAAAGAGAACACAAATGTTAGAGAGGAATATACAGAAAAGATAAAAACATCTAAAAACAAAAAAAATCAAATATTAAAAAGTGCTTCCTAATGACTGCTTAGTGTGTTTAATAAGCTTTGCAAATATCACTATTTAACAGGAAAAATTTCAACCCTTCCCTTACTGCTTTGACCAGAGAAAGTTCCTAGTTTTTTCCATTCCCAAATAAACCTTGGCCTTCTGAGCTAGCCCGACCACTTCAGTCCTCCTCGTCTCCCAACTATAATGCTCCACCCTGGAACTAAAGTGCTGCCTTCCCATGCTAACTATGAGAATATTATTTTTTCTTCTAGTAGTCTAAACTCCCTAACTTCCCAACATTAAAAAACCCACCACCAACATCAATAATTCAAAAACAACATATTACAGAAGTAATAATATTTCCTATTTTAAAAATGTAGATGAGGGCCCTGGCTGGTGTGCCTCAGTGGATTGAGTGCTATGCCTGCCTGCAAACCAAAGGGTCGCCAGTCTGATCCCAGTCAGGGCACACGCCTGGGGCCAGGTCCCCAGTAGGGGGCATGCAAGAGGCAATCACATATTGATGTTTCTCTCCCTCTTATTCTCCTTCCTTTCCTCTCTCTCTAAAAATAAATAAATGAAATCTTTTTAAAATGTGTAAAATTACAGCCAGATCATGTTAAATATTTAGGTCTCTATCATTTCAGAAACATCTCTATATTGTAAATATGCATATACTGTATACTTTTTAAATGGTAACGTATCTTTTTTCAAATATAGTTTAAATTCAGTATTATTTTGTATTAGTTTCAGGTGTACAGCATAGTGGTTAGACAATTGCATACTTTACAAAGTGATTCCCCCCAATATTTCAAGTACCCACCTGGCACCACATATAGTTATCGCAGTATTATTGCCTACATTCCCTATGCTATATTCTACATTCCTGTGACTACCAATGTATTTAAGTTTTCTACTGTGACTAGATTTAACATGTCTATTAAGTAAAAGCATTCATATTTCCCACCTAAATCTATCAATTCCCTTGGGGCGGGGGGGGGGGGGGAAACAAAACCCTGTCTCACAACAGAATATCTGAATCACTGCTAAGTGTTTCCTTCCTTTTATTTTATGTGTTGTATTAGTTCGAAATGACTGGTTGACAGTTTCCCTTGTATCTCTAGTGCCACCAATACAGGCCACATCTATGAGCAACGAGATTCCTCCATTTCCCTTACAGCCGTGTCCCCTGCACATCGACACAAGATGGGATTGCCAGAGAAAATATAGGGCACCCAACCAAAGTTGAATTTCAGATAAACAACACATAGCTTTCAGTTAAGTATGTTCAATGCAATATTTGGTAGTTATTTATACTTCAAGATTATTTGTATTTTCATGTGCTAAGTCTGGTGGCCCCAGCCTGAAGATGGTACGTCCAATGGCACAAGTGCCAGCCCTGCCCTGACTCTCTCCTGAGCCCAAAGGTGACTTCAGAAATGTTCTCCCGGCAGCCCAAGCAGATGTTTAGACACTACTAGTTGATCAGAGCTGGAACATAAGATGAAATTTAGTAATGATCCCTCTCTGGCCTTTCCTCTCCTAATTCAATCTTTCCCACTAATCAGACGTGAAAGGGTAACAGAGAAAAACCATGAACTGATCAAAAGACCCTTCCACGATGATGTGCACTGAACTGCTACAGGTCTGTGTTCACTCACATGACAAACTAAGGTAATGGGCAAAGTAATTTCTGAGGTGGCTTGTGGCACTGTAATTGTACGTAATCTTCCTTAAAACTGCTTTCATTTTACTCCCTTGCTCAGTAACCTAAATGGCTCCCCTGTAAACCAAGACCAATCAAGGTTCTTTGTGAAGTTTCAAGGTCTGTAACATAGAAGGAAAGAACAAGCTGAGAGGTCAGCAACCTGAATTCAAGTGCTAGTTCTGCACCTGGTGAAGATCTTGGGCAAATTATGTAACACCCCTCAAGTGCAACGGGCAGTTTTGTTAAACAGAGGTAGCATCATTTACCCCTCACTGGTTTATCAAGGATTTAATGAGTTGTCAAAATACTTTACAAACTTTAGAGCTCAAATTTCCTATCTAAACCAAATTTAATTTCCATTATTTTGCAATACATAGACTTCATTCCAGTCACTTCAAAACCTCTAAACACAATACCCCTTTGGAAAGGTCTTTCCTCTATGTATTATTTCCTTCAGACATCTTCCAACGATGAAGTTCCTTGATCCGTAGAAGGGAGGTCAGGGTTAGAGGAACCTCTACCACACTGCACAAGTTTAAAACTTCAGGACTCTTAATTATAGCCCAAACTATTTTTTCATGCATATTAATTCATTTGAAAATTGTATTATGTGACTACTATTTGCCAGACACTGTTGTAGGTGAAGGTGAAAAACTAAACCAGATGATCAAAGTCCTCACTTTCATGGAGCTTTAACTCTGCCAAATATAAACCTTTTCCTCCCAACTCCAATGTTTTTCAAAATAGAGTCTGTGGACTTCAACACGCATGGAACCAGTCCAGATGAGAACAGAGCCTGTGCAGGCATTTAAAATGGCTACACCCTTGAGCATACACGAGTTCAGCTGACTATTTTTTCATACAACTTTCTCAAGGAAAGAAGGAGTATACTGCCTTACTTCCTGGCACTAGCTCCTACCTTACTGCCAACCAGCAACAGTTTACAGATGGGTTGTTTTGAGAGGCACCAAATCATTAATGATTCGCTACTACAAGGCAGGGATCCAGAGGACTTTCCATAAATACCTACTGACTGCTGTCAGGAAGAAATGAAAAATAAAGTAGTTAAGTAAAATTTGTCTTTAAAGCAAATGTTTTCTCTTGAGGAAAAAAATGTAACAGGGTTTACCTGACACAGTGTGTAAGCACTAAAACCAGTCTTCTCTCTCAGCAAACCAGCTGCTTTCCCCGTAGGTGCAGTAAGTAAAACTTCGATAGCCTTGTCTGACTTTGGTGGACTTTGCTGGCTGAAGGTAATCCACTCTGCTGGCACATCCTGGTCTTGTTCAAAGTCCTCACAAGCTTTTTTTACTTCGCTTTCTTCCAAGACCTCTACATGCTTAAAGAGACGGCTAACAATTGTGGTCTTCCCAGAACCACCTTTCCCACTTATGACCGTCACAGCATTGGAGCAGATCATTTCCAGAGCAGCCACCTGATCCTGGTCCAGCTGACCTTGACTTATTTCTGCATTATCTTCACTTTCACCATTATCCAAGAGATGGTCACCACTGCCCTGTGTGTTCAGAATGTCCTCCAAAGTTTCTAATCTTGTTTCATCAGGTTTACTTTCATTCAATGTATCGTCACTTCTTGAACCCTCAGGTCTTTTGGTATAAAGAGACACAAGCACCTTTTTGACATCGACGTGCAAACGCCACGGAGGCCTCATCATCAAGTCCCCTATTAAAGAGGCAATGTCTCTTTCAGCCCGGTAAAGGTCATAAGGAAAGATACAGGTCTTCTTATTTGTCACCACACCGATATCCTTCAAAAACTGCAGAGACTGCCAGACATCATGAAAAGACATACAGTTCGACAACTGGGAAGTCAAGTCAGCTTCTTCTACATACGTGTGCCCATGCTCTCTACATATCTGCTTCAGTTTAGAATATATTATCAATCCATTCCTCTCTAAATCAGTCATCAACTGGAGAAGAGACGTGCACTGACAAAACGCTGTCCAACTCGCCTCACATCGCAGAAGCTTCAGTTCTCTGTAGGTTATCTTTAAGAAAATAAAGGTCAAACAGCTTTATAAAAACCATAAATGTTAATGAGTATTATTAAAATTATAGTAAAGACAATGTTATTTATTAATGATTTTTAAGCCCTAGAAGACATGTACTTGTATTTCAATTAAATTCTATAAAATATATCTGTGTATTGTATTGTGTGTTTACCACCCAAAGTCAAGTCTCCCTATCACCCCCCTTTACCTTTTACTACCACCCCCCCCCTCCATATTAACTCCCTGCTGTGGGAAGTCTTTCTCTATAGGAGAGCTTTCTCTCCTTTATACCGTCACTTCCACATGTGCTTCTCCCCTTCCCATCTTTGGAAAAAGTTACAGTACACATTGGGTTCATTGATTTTGGCTAAATCAGTATAAATAGGATTCAGATAAGCAACACAATGTACCATAATTATATTAACTTTACATTAAATTCTGTGTGTGTTGTGACTGCCTCATTTTCTTGGCTTCTTTAGTTTTCTATGTGAGCAATAATTCTGCCCAAATGCTAGCAGTCACCCACCAGCTCCATTTTTTTTTCCATGGAGACATCCTTCTTGGAGTCCTCCACACATATGTATATGGGTTGAACTGTGTGCCCCCCCCACACCCCCTCAGTTTCGTATGTTGAAATCTTAACCACTAGTACCTCACAATGTGACCATATTTGGAGACAAGGTCTTTAAAGGGGCAATTAAGTTAAAATGAGGTCACTGGGGTGGGCCCTGATCCAATAGGACTTATGAGAAGATTAGAACACAGCCAACAGACAGAGAGATGAGCATGTGAAAACACAGCAAGAAGGCTCCGAGCCAAGGAGAGAGGCCTCTGAAAAACCCAACCTTGTTGACGCCTTGATTTGGGACTTGCAGCCTCCAGAACTGTGAGAAAATAAATTTCTGTTATATAAGCTGCCCAGTCTGTATTAATTACAGTAGTCCTAGCAAATTAATATAATACCTCAGTAACAGCCTTTATTGTGGATGGTGAACAGTGGAACTTCAAGCCCCCTTTTCCCACTTGTGTCCCAGAATGCTCATTGCTGTCTCTCTTCTCGACTGAAGAACTATATATGTAAATAATCTAATGTTCCAGAATTTTCTTTTTCAAGGCATATAGAAATCATAGTCATTTGATGTAGGGAACAAATTTATTATTCTAGTATTTCTCAAACTAGGTTGGGAGCAGTGTCTGTAAACATTTTTGGGGATATAAAAATTACATTAGAATTTTTAAATTGTATTTTCATTTGGAAAGCCGCCATATGAAATTTAATGACAAGTTTAAGTGCCACACTTAGTTTCCAACGCCACTGGAAGCTCACAGTGTCACTTGATTACTCTTGGTCTACAATGACAGAAGTAGAGTCATTTGTAAATGATATTATTGTACCGAATGAAAAAATCAAATGATGTCATGATATCCCATATGAACAGGGACAGTTCTCAAAAGTTCCAAGGAAGGTGGGGGACTGAGTTGCAGAGCAGAATGAATTTGCCAAACTCATAAGAACGTGTGTCTTCAATGAGATCTATGCTCGAGTTGCAAATGGCAATTAAGTTACCAAATTTTTTTGTCATATTAAATTATATAACTAAGTTACCAATAATCTGAATGTTACTTAGTTATTTTGTTTTCCTTTATAAATTTATTGCATAAGAGCTAGAGGCATAAAAATTTATATTTAGTTGTAACACACAAAGAAAAATAGATCAACACTGAGGTGTGTACAAATTTTTTCCTTTAAAAGAGATGCAAAAATTGTCAGGTTTGAGAAATCTTGCCTTATATAAGATTACCAAATGCTAAGCAAATGTTCTACTTACTTTACTAAATCCAAGTTTCCATGGATGCGTACCTAAAATCTCTTCTATCTTTCCCAACACATCTTTAGAATCTGAGCTTATGAGCTGTTTAAAGTGCCGAGGCAGAAGAACTGGAAGGAATTCCATTATCTTCGGAAACTGCAATGCTGTCATTACACTTATAAATGGAACTACAAGGTATCAGAGAAGAACAAATGAAAACATACAAATGAGCTCAGAGGAAAACTGGTTTGATGGATTTTCTCATTTAGTACAACCAGTTCAAGAAAACCAAATCAAAGAGAAATTAATAAATTTACTTTAACCAGCAAGGAAATTGACATTGCAACAATTTCTTTTGTACTGAAATGGTTTTCATTGTATTTAACACCAAAATTTATGTTCTTTAAATGCTTAGGTAACCACTTCTTAGCCTTTTGCTTCATTTTGCTTGCAAATAATAACAATAAAATTCTTGATTCAATGATAAAGATAAATTCAAAATTAAACGAAAAATAATGTATATATTAATCTTTTAATATTTTACTATAATCATAATCCTCTCATCATTAAAGTCATCTGATGATGTCCTGCCAGATTTATTTGAAATAACTAACAACTGAAATATTCCATATATGTGAATGTCCAAATAACAAACTATATTAGAACTTATTTTAAATCATTTTGGACTGAAACTTTTCCAAAATGGATTACTAATATTCTTGCCTTTCTCTTCTGCCTTCTTAAATAGAATAACTGACAACTTAACTTTTTCTTAACGCCTCAAGGTAATTTTATGTACACAAAAGTTAGAGCGAGAGAACCATAGTTTTAGAGCTGAAAAGGAATGGAAAGGAGCTTAAATATCACCTCATCCAATCTCTTCACAGTAAAGATGAAGAACCAGGTATATTGATACACTCCAAAAGCAATATAAAAACATCTACATCAAACCAATTTAAAAAGAATACTATGCCAAGATGACAAAGAGGCAATATTTTAAAACACATTAAGTCATTAAATATCTCAATTACACTAAAACTCGATGATAAAAATCACACCTACTTGTGTTTTCCACAGCAAGGCGCCTCTCATGATCTGGTTGGGACTCTTCCTGTTCAGTCCGTGTAGACTGTTTTTGACCATTCCTCCCAGGTTCTTTTTTGAACATTCTCATTGTTTCCCTAAGATTTTCAAAGTTGAGGTTTTTATAGCCTAATGTGTTATTTACCCATGCTAAAAACTTATTTCTAGTGTCACCGGAGACCTCACAGTCTTTAAGAAAGAGGGAACAGATACTTTTTTGATTGGGTGGTGACATATCAGACTGTAAAAAGTACGACGGAAATCCTTGAACGTGATATTTCCGGGATCCCACAGCCTTCACTTGCACCTTCACTCGCCACCAAGGACCCGTTAATGGAAAACGTCCAAACACTTCACACTGCTCTTGAGTGTTTTCATCAGCAATTACAACTTAAAAAAAAAAAGTTAATTTAGTATGTTTTAAAACCTCTCTCCCAGTGTTTATCAAACCCACTATTCCCTTTAACACTCCGCACCCCCATACACACTCCTGCACAGCGCCCTGTACAAATATCTATTAGAGTGTCTATATTGCACTCACTTATTTATCCGTCTCCCGCTACTACTGTAAGCCCTCTAGAAAACAACCATGCTTCATTAGTGTTTGTACTCCTCCAAGAGGTAAGAGTGGTGCAGGGCAAGTCTGCTGTTCCACTTCTAAAAGCAGTCCTTCCTTTCTCGGCAACTCTGACTTTAGCCAATACTGACCTTGCAGTTTCTAAAGAAAAATGCCATGGTGCCTCCCACCACAGGGCCTTTGCATAAGCCAGTCCATTGCCTTAAATGTCCTCCTCCTTACTGTTTATCCTGTTTACCACAGACCTTGGCTTGTCACTTCCTCAGGAAAGCCTTCCCTGAATCTCATGAATGTAACCTCTCATAGCACCCCTTACTATTTCTTCTAAGCACTGAGTAATATTATAGTTACTTCTGTGATTATTTAAAGAATGCCTGTTTCATTCACTAGACAGTACGCTCCTTAGGGCAGCAACCTCATCATCTTATGTCTCCAGGGTATCCCAGCAGCAAACACCTTGCTTGAAACGTGGCAGCCAGTCACTAATACTTTTAGGATAAATGACTAAACCCTCCACAGATACTTGAAAATTGTCTGTCTAAACCTATGCTGTCCACTGACATGTGACTTTAAAGTTCAGGTCCTCAGTTGCACTAGCTGCACTTCAAGATCTCAACAGCCACATGTAGCTACTGGCTATTGTACTAGACAGCATAAATATAAAACAAGACCATTATAAAGAAAATTCCACAGGGCAGCACTGGTCTATACATTAAAATATTCTTAAATAGCAGTCATGAGTATAATTTATAGCACAGGAAATTACACAAGGTAAACACGGATATCAATATTACTAACACAAGGTTAATGAATCAATAATGCCTTGAAGGTGTTTCTTGGGTGTGTGTGTTTTCTAAGCAGCTGAAAAATAATCCCATATTTGACTTCAGGCCCCGATTCCGGGTGTGAACACAGGCGCAACACCCACTATTATAAACATCCTCTATTATAAAGCTACTTCAAAGGGTTGTGAACCTTAAATGAAGTAACACACGTCAGCACAAGCCTAACAGTATTTGCTCAAGTCACTGCTATTACATTATTATTTTATCCTAAGTTGGACAAAATAGCTAGGCCGTCCCAGAGGAAGCCTGTTAACAGCGATGAGGCGCCCCACTGAGGACGGGCCACACTAGAAAGCAGTCTGTTTATCTCCCGTTACGTCCCCCAGGGCCGGGCGCTTGCTCACCTCGGAGGCACCCAGGGAGGCTGCCAGCCTTTAGGCCCCCACTGCAGAGCTCCTCGGCATCGACAAACGCCGGATCTTCGTCCTCCACGTCTTCCATCAGACACTCATCGCTCTCCTCCACCAGGGCCTTGGGTGGGAGCAGGGGTCCGCGTATTTCCCGCAGTCCCGGACTCGAAGTGGCCATAACTCTATTAATTCTCTGAAAGTCAACCCAAACTTCAGGAAACCCGGGCGGGGCGCAGCGCCACCATCAGCCAATCAGGTCCGCGACTGCAAGACCGCCAAGTTCCGCGTTCGCCGGCGCGCGCGTGCATGGGCGGAGCTGCAGCGAAGCTCCGCCCCCAAGCGCGGGGGCGGGCTGTATGCGAGGCAGAGAAAGGTGGCGCTCTTCTTCCAAGCCGGGTAACCAAACTTGAGTGTCCACCAGAAGTCTGGAGGAAATCAGCCCCCGGGCAGCGGCAGGTGTCGCACCTGCTGAACTGCTAGCCCACGACGTCTCGTAAGGAGAGAGAATTGCGGAGAAAGGCCACGTCCAGTGAGCCTAGAGAGCCCGGAAAACTAAGCCCTCCCCCAAACTCCCAAAACAAAATGCCAGGTGCCCTTCAGGCCGGCTGGCCACCAGACAAAGCACCAAATAGCGAATCTCCAATCCTGAGACCCTTCTGGCTAGTCGTGACTGCTTGTGGGCCTTCGTTTCCATAAGGAGCTGAATTTCTATCATCAATCCAAAGGCACTTACTCAAACTACAGATCTCTAGTCCCCATTCCACCCATTGTATCTGAATCTAGGGCAGGGACCCAGGGGTTTGTCTTTTAAGGGTTCCCATGTTATTTATTTTGATGCTTAGCAGGTTTGGAAGCCACTGAATTGGGTGACATTCAAAGTCCTTTTCATCTTTTTTTCAGTGAGTACACCTTGGTCTCCCAAATTTCTTTAAGCTGCTATCTGCTTACAGTGGGGCGGGGAGGCCGGGGAATCCATCCAGTCTTAACCTACAGGACAGATGGGGATGGGGGATGCAAAGCAGAAAAGAAAGGACAGTGGTTTAGAAAGTTATTCTGATGCCATGATTCTCATACTTGATAGAATACTTTTTGAAATGCTCTTTGAAGAACACCTAAGATATATTACTACAATTACTATTTTGATACTATTTATTATGAAATTATTCTATGAATAATACACCTAAAATAACTAAGCATACACTGTTTGCTAAATCCAAAAGCATCTTATGATAGATTCTAATATAAACAACAGCCAGCACCAAAGGTTTAAGAAAAATCTATAAGAAAATACTACTAAAATTGTTTTTTTTTTCTTTTTTGTCCTTTGGGTAGGAATGTCCTCATTTGTTGCTTTGAGAAGAAAAGTGCTCTGTTGCAGCTGACAAACTACCAGTGTATCCAAGAATCTTCTCGTCTATATGAGGTCGAATCCCTTCCCTAACACTCACAGTGGCTACTGTTTCCACTACAACATTGAATCTTCTGGGTCAAAAGTCACACTACTGGTGTCTTTGTTGCTAAAACCAGTGGATACCTTTTAGCTATTGTTTTACCCCCTCTGTCAACAGTATTTGACACTGATAACAGTTTTCTTCTTGTAACACTCAGGTCCCTGGGCTTTTATGATTTGTCTTCTCAGGTCTCCCTCCTGCCTTTGGCTATGTATATTTTCCTGGGGCTCCCCCGCTAGCCTCTGAAGTACTGGTATTTCCCAGGGTTCCATCCTAAGCACCTTCTCACTCTAATCCTTCCTCCAATTATCTTTCACCTATTCAGTCAGCTACCTGCTACTGAGGGGCAAGGCAGGCCTGTGGTAGGAGCTCTCACAACGTGTGTCAATCACTAAAGCCCTACGGGGAGACCTCTGTATTTACAACAGACCTCTGTGATCGTAACAGCCCCTCCCCCTAACTTGCTCTTCCCTTGTGTAAAATGGGGTTTAATGCTTCTTCTCCATCTTCTTCAGCTTCTGGCTCACCATGTATGCACACAGTGGATAACAATCCCTTAATTTCTCCCAAATAAATCCTTTTTGGTGAGAGAATACTTAGTTTTATTTGCAGCTAACACTCCTAGTCTGCTCTCCAAACCTGTGCAAACAACTACCAAGTAAATGCCACTATTGGATGCCCCTTAGCTACATCTAAACTGGAAGCTGTTCACTGCCCAAATCTGGGTCACTTGTGTGTGTATGCATAGGATATCCTTGCTACCAACATGATGATTTGGGGACAGCACTCCAGAAGTTAAGGTTCTGTTCATATGAGTGATAGGGGACTCAAGAGTTGGAAAATTTTAGTTAAGGTAAATAGTTATAAACCCAATAAGTAATGCATATGTTAAAGCTTTTGTTTCATATCCTACAGATAAGGCCCATCCTGGTTCCTGGGAAAACAGCTGACCTCCTGGGGCACTGCTAGAGATTACTGCCTGGGGACAAGTGGAGGCATCCAGGTCTTTGTGTTCTAGGGAGAGACAGATGACCACGCCCGTGGGACCAGTTAACCGCCCCCAAAGAATGCTACAGTCTCTTTTACCTAATTTTCCCTGAATTTCAAAATTTCTTACCGCACCTTGTTTATTTCCTGTTATAAAAACGTTGGCTTGGAAAGAAAATGTAAGATGGTCTGTTAGGGTATGAACCCACCATCTTCTCAGATAGTCGGCCCTCCGAATAAAGCACCCATAAAAGATTGAATCTCTATCTCTGCGTATTAGGTTTGGTAGTGACAGGCACCCCAAATGCCAGTGTCTTCTGGTTTCATATTTTGGCGACTCCATTCTGGGACAGACTTTGAGACTCTCCAGTAAGTCTGGGTATGTGGTGGGGAGTCCCATTGACTGGCTGGTCTGAGAGGCCCCGGGGATTTAGGTCCGGAGAATCCCAAGCAGCTGCCAAGTGATTTCACTTGGGATTCTCCCCACTCACTCCCGGTACTTCTCATCGATTATCACGTTTGATTGAATCATTGTGCTTTGTGGTTCAGGTTAAAATCCCAGGTCATGACTTTGGTCATCTGGTAAAGGTAACTTTCTGGGTTACAGAGCTTGATTTGAAAAAATGACGTCTGATTTGGTGTGGGTACCCTTTGTTTGAGGGAGCTCTGTTTGGAAAAGGATGTCTTTTTATTTCGTTTGCTCACCCACTGTTTGGAGCTCTGTCTGGCAGAATGGGGGGAAAACACTCCATTCTGAGAAACAGCCCATTGGGGCGAGTTCAGGGTAATTCTTCAACTTATAAATGTATAACTAGAGTGAATGTGGTGTTATTGTAATACTGTTCAGCTTGTGTGTTGTACAATTTAGACTCAGGAGAGCGCTGGTCACTGACTGGGTCTTTAAATTACTGTATTATACTGTAACTACAGTTGTTTTTGTCAAAAATCAGGAAAGTGGGACAAAATACCTTACCTAGATGTTGTTTTTTTTTTGAGTTTACATGATAAAGCTGCAGAATTTAAATTAAAAAAAAAGCTAATGGCTCATTGAAAAGGGGAATTTGCATGTGAAAGATAAAAGCTCAAAGAAGAGGGACCAGGAAGATCTAGATATTCTGACCACTGCAAACTGGTCAGAGTTCCCACAGCCCCAGGGGCCCTACTTGGCTGTGGGAACAGGGAAAGTGGGCCTGAACTGGCATTGCCGTCTGGAACCAGTCAGGGAACCAGATTTGGTGGAGAAAGGGCCCCTACTGGGGCAGGGCAATGTCCTTTGCAGAGACTTCCAGTGGGAGTAGGGCCAGAGGGCCAGCCTGCTGGGTATTATTGGGCACATATTCTGTTTTCTACATCAGATCTGTTAAAACTGGAAAAACGTAAACTGTTCTTATAGAGATTATCCTGCTAAAATGACTGATTTGGTTGCATCAGTCTTTGCCACCCATCATCCCAATTGGGCAGACATACAAGCCCTATTAAATATCTTGCTTACAGGGGATGAGCAGAGCTGATGTTGGATAAGGCAAATGAAGAGGCTTGGATGTTACACCAAGAAAATCCAGATGGGGTTCTGGGCCCTCCCAGGACAACACCTCCAACCAAGTCCAACTGTTGAGGGGAGAGACCTGGTTCTTCTTGCTGACGCATGTAAAGAATTACATATCAGTAAATCTAGTAGTATGTAATCAGTTTATTAGTGGCTTGCTTCCATGGAAGAGAACAGGACTGGGTAGAGTAGGGGGTGAAAGGCAAAGTTTCAGGGCAAAGCAGGGTGAGAAAAGCAAGAGTGGCTAGAGACCAGGGTGGCAAACCCCTGGACAGCCTGAGGCTGGGTTGCCATGTTACAGGGTGCAGCCAAGAGGGGGGACCCCAAATAGGCATTTGAAATGGGGTCCAGAACTCAAGGTGTCCAGGAGATTTTAAGGTGTCCCCACCCCTTCCCCCACAGGTGTGAGATGGGGGAAGGGGCACACAGAGCAAGAACATGCAGGGCAGCTTTGCAGCTAATCCATGGCGTGGTCATTTAACATACCTATAGCCTTTGGCTGGTCACTTAGATATGCTAAATAGCTATGGCCATGCTCAAGGCCAGGGGGATGGAAAGGGACCTCCCCCCAAGATGGGACCTGGGAGGCAGGTCCCCTGAGTTACAGCGCCTGCATGGGAGCTGGGAGAAGATTGGCTCCATGACATGGGGTGACACCTGCCCAGACCCATGATGGCGACCAGAAAAGCTGGAGAAGACAGCAGATTGAGGGCAAGTGTGCCCAAGTGTAGGAGGAGTCAGAAATGGGGCTGCAGAAGAAGATTGGCGCAGGGGATTTAAACCCAGACACGGCAGCCATAGAGGGAGAACCACGCGGCCTGGACAGAGTGGGGACTCTCCCTTCCCACAGCCCTGAGAGAGGGAGAACCACCCGGCCTGGACAGAGTGGGGACTCTCCCTTCCCGCAGCCCTGAGAGAGGGAGAACCACGCAGCTGTAGAAGTGCAGAGAGAACCGCAGCCCTGAGAGAGGGGGAACCACGCGGACTTGACAGAGTGGAGACTCCCACAGCCCTGAGAGGAAGAACCAGAGGACTGCCTGAGCCATGGACTTCATTTTCCTTTCCTGAGATACGGTACTCTGGACTGGGCAAAGGGGGAAGGAAGGAAGGACTGTGTGTTTGTGGGTGTTTTTTAGGGACTTTAGGATTTTTGATAAAGACATTAGGTCACTACTTGAAGTTTGTATAGCATTAAATAAACATTTCCTTTCCTTTTCATGAATCTCTGGCATTGAGAGAC